ACCCCCTTATATCTGAATAAAAGTGAACTTGGGGGCTGAAAAAACAGGACGAGTATGGTTTTTTCCATGATCTAGTAAGCTCACTATGTAAATCAGGAAAGAATGGAAGGCCCAGTGGTGGAGGTGTAACGTTTGGAAGACAGACCACGCTCGGCCCTTTTGCTTTAGGACGAGCGCCCTGTTTCTCAGCTGGCCAAATGATGTTTAACTTAGACACAGCACGAGTTAAACCTCCACCAGCTCCTCATACACTGGGGAAAGAGGTGTCAGTTCTACCTGCTAGATAGCTGCCTGTCTCTAACCCCTCCGAGAGATCCATTTGCGAACCCCATGATTTCAGCTTCCGTGCTGCCTCGGCAGCAGCGGGACCAGAACCATGAGGAACGCGAACCTGCACATTTTCCGCAAAAAGTGACTGGCGGGAGTGGAGTGTGCGAAGCGGCAGCCTCTCACAATGCTCGCAGTCCGCCCCCTCAAAGGCTGACAGAGCATGATCAGCTCCAAAACACATAACACACAAGTTGTGTGTACCCCCTGCCGTTAGGAAGTGCAGGCAGGGAGAAGCACACTGCTTGAATGTTTGGTTCGCCGTATGTGATATAGTGACTGCACAATCTCAGGACAGACAACAATAAATAAGGCACACAGTTTGACATAGAGCGCTTGCTGAGGCACAGAAGCTAACGCCGGTCATTCCGGATGTTCATTTATCCTTTCCTGGTCGTGACGTCACCTGCCCGTGACATTCCCTCTCGCCATTGGATTAGTTGACATACGTGCTTCAGATGCAATCACGCGGAGGCGTTCCCAAAGAGTCATCGTCGCAGCGCGAGTTCCCTCGAAAGGGAAAGAAGTAGAAGCAGCAGGCGTAATGATATGACGCAGCGCCTGAAAATAGTTCCGTTGTGTTGACGGAAGGTGGCCTATTTTCAGTCGCTGCGTCATATCATTATGCCTGCTGCTCTCATGGTACGGCAGTGAAGTTTCTTGATTATTACGCAGGAATGAGAGTATAGTTCCTAGCCATATCAGCCTAGAAAATCGCAACTTTACATTTTCCGTCGGTCTTAGTGCACGATGTAACTACAGAAGAGTCAAGTTTTAAATAGGAAAAATATTGAAACTCTTTGGTCATTTTTTTTTTAGAAATGCTAATGGTCTTGTCCACTCCAATGATGTATGCTAAGCTATGCTAAAAGTGGTACCGCCAGAACCGGAGATCGGCTGAATGGATTCAAAAACGGTAAAACTCAACAGTTTAACTCTGGGGGAGTTGTAAAATGAGCCTATTTCCAAAAAAAGTGGAGTATCCCTTTAATGACTTGTAAATGTAAGTACACATTGATGGCCTAAGACACGAAACGAGCGCTTTGTGTGAGAAAACGAACAGTATTTATATCGTTTTTCCCTCTTGTAAACACAGCCACGTCCAAGTGATCTGAGGGCGCGGGCGCTTCGGTCTGTGCGTTACAAGAGGTGAAAACTATATAAATACTGTTCATTTTCTCACACAAACTGCTCGTTTCGTGTCTTAGGCCATCAATGTGTACTAACATTTACGAGTCATTAAATCATGTTTAAATTGGACTTCTCTGTGCATGCTCTTTGAGGTGGTGACCATAGACCTGCATTATATGACTGACAGACAAGAACGGTTTGACCTAAAAATATCAAAATTGAAACTACTGCGGAAACAAAGACACCTACATCTTGGATGCCCATAAGGTAAGCTAAAACATATCAAAAATTAATTTCAAAGTGAACTATCCCTTTAAGCTTTACAACTGAAAGTGAAAGGACAATACACTTTCCAGAACGTTTTACATCGCAAGCCGCCAGTTTGGCTTGGCTTTTACTAGTCTTAAATCCTTTTACTGGCTATACAAACACAGTATCTTAAAAACCACAATATTTCCGCTTACATTTCAGAGGATGATGAGCATGAGCACGTGAATGAGATAATGGTTGTTGGTTTCATAAATGTCATAAATGAATATTATTACTTAGATAATTATTAGAAAAATTTCTTAACAATAAAATATTTTTAAAATGTAGATTATTTAATGCTTCAACAAACGTGCACAATTAGTAATGTGTGCGCTAAACATTTCAAAATACTGTATAAAATAAATGTTGAGCTCGGATCAAAATCAAATATGTTTCAAGGTGAATACAAATGTAAAAAAAATATTTTACATTTAAGGTATTTTTTGTGTTTCATAACTGGCATTCAATGCAAATACATATAGAGCAAGCTCAATAGATGTGTCAAATATGCAGTTTCTATTCTGTTTGGAAAGCAGCACTGTAAAATATATCTGTACAAACAGATAAACATAGTGATCAGAACAAGTACAGGACAAGATAAAATGAATACACTCTAATTTAAAGGAATAGTTTACCCTTGTGTTGTTCCAAACATGTATGAAATGCCAATTCCGATTCATAAAAACCTATTTATGACCTGGATCAACCGATTTATTGAAAATAGCTCAAAAGAATGATTTGTTAATAAATAAGACATTACTACTTCTCTCCTGAATGAGCCAAAGCTAGGGTGAATTCAGTGAACAACATTTTTGCTGTTCCTCACACAAAACTATTGTATAGCTCTGCAAGTTCTGGTGGTATGGGCTACTTTTATAATACTTTTATGGCGTCTTTGCATCTTTCAAAGCTCCAGACTTCATTCAGGAAAAAAAAAGATCATACAGGTTTAAAATGACATAAGGGTCAGTTAATGACAGAATTTTCATTTTTAGGTGAGCTATTCCACTGAAGTCAACAATACCAAAGTTAAATATAGCTGCAAGCAGCAATTATCGGGGGCCAAGCGCAAAGAAGATGAAAAGACATGCCAACATGGCCGGGAGTGTCAGACCAACTGCAGCAAGGAGCAATTAAATACAATTTAAGACGATTTTAGACAAAATTGCTGAATAATCATATAAACAGTCACTAATAATATGATTTAGCAGTTTTGACCAATCGGACTTTCGACCAATCGGTGGCTCAATTACGAAATTGATGTGGTGTGGTCAGAGTGAGGTGACAATGACACATACAAAGTTTGGTGTCAATATGTCAAGGCATTGCAGAGATAAAGCCTGAATAGTCATTTTGGCATCATGCCTCAACTTTGCTGCTGCGGTATACGAAAACGGTTTCGTCTATTGAGATGAAATCCATAACATTTTGTCGGCACAGTCTGGAGATTTTGGTGAAAATCAGACAAACGGTCTAGGAGAAGTTCGAAAAAGAAGGTTTTAAAAGAAAATAAAGATGGCGGCCAGGAAGTTTGGCTGACTATGGCAAAATTGGTATCTATGTTTTCGGCATAAATATATTTTGCTACTAGCCCTTACGGTTCAAAAGTTATTAGTATAAACATGAGTGAAACTTTGGACAGTTGGTGGCGCTCGCATAGGTCGGCAACCCGCAGCTCTAGAGCCGCATGCGGCTCTTAAGCGCCGCCCTAGTGGCTCCCTTGAGCTTTTTCATAAATTTGAAAATGGAAAAAATATTTTTTGTTTTAATATAATTTCTGTAGGAGGAAAAACATGACAAATATTCTTAAAGTTTTTCAACGTTGTAAAAATGTGTATAATAAATATTTAATTTCAACATTTCTGTCAACGAAGAATTTACGTCACAGACTGTGACACACGTGTCTGTCAGATCGGCGTGATGCCAGACCGGTGGCTGACAAACAAACAAACAAACAAACCGGCGGGTGTGTCATGACTCATGAGCAATGGATCCCAAGGGGAAAAAGAGAAAGATAGCTGAGCACTCCCAACGCAATAGAGTGCGGCGCGGGACTAGATTTGATGGCCGAGTGCGAGCGCGGGCGCGTGCGCTAATGCACTCACTCTACTAAAACAAAATAGAAACGATTTACAGGCCAGAATTTCTATTCATAACGTGTTTGCAGCGTTGAGCGATATAGCCAATCACAGACATATGTGTTGATTTCTTGAACGCAATGGCCAATCAGAAGCATTTAAGATAGACTCCCCTCACCGCTCAAAACTGACGTTTTTGTTCAGTGCTGAATTCTGTATGCTGGCAAATCATCTAATTATAACGAACAAAGTGTGGATATTATGAAAGATTGATTGTGCAGTCAGCTTCATTGATAATAACAGAGATGTGTGAGATCGCGATGAACTGTCAGCTTTTTAGGAATTATTAAGAGAGCGCACTTAGCGCGCATTCAGTTATGGCAAACCATGCACGCAGTAAACTGCTTGCTTTTATGTTAAATTAACAGTGGTTTGTGTTTTAATGCTTTAATAACAAATAATTTATCAGGAGGATGTATGGTGGCGACACGTAGGCTAACTTGAAAGTATTTGGAGGTACAGAAAAAAGTCTATTTGCGGGCGGGAGCTGGACAAAACATAAATGTTGCGGGCGGGAGAAAGAAAGTTGAGAACGTCAGTTATAACGACCCACGCATTAAAAAATGGTCGGGTTAAAATCGGGCTCGGGCTCATAATTACGGTTTATGTGTCGGGCCGGGCTTGATTTTTTGGGCCCGATCTAAGCTCTAATTTGTAGCCTACTTATCATTTTGATAAAGCTAATATAACACTTACAGCATGTGTTGCCTTCATTATAAGGCTTATATAAAGCTTTTAATTTTTTGTGGCTCCAGACAGATTTTTTATTTTTTTGGGGGGTCCAGTATGGCTCTTTCAACATTTTGGGTTGCCGACCCCTGCGCTAGAGGGATTGAGTTAGAGACTCCAAATTTGCTACGGTAACTGTTCAGACTGTCCTCTATCAGTGTGCCAAATTTCATAACTTTCCCGCAAGCGGTTTTATGGGCTGCCATAGACTTCCATACGGAAGAAGAAGAAGAAACGGAAGAAGAAGAAGAAGAAGAAGAACGCCAACGATTTCAAGAGGTGCCTACGCACTTTCAGTGCTTGGCCCCTAAATACACAAGTGTTTTTGAATGCATGTACTATCAGGATTTCATCAGGTCATGTACACTGAAATGATGAAAGAAGTATAAGAAAGGGTTTTTTCCTCTTCCCCTGTTTATGTCTTTCATTAGTGTCTTTCAGTCTGAGCCGGACTCCTCAGAGCTTGGCGGTGTGCTGACCGCTTCCTCTTCATCATCAGACCCCTGTATAAAAAGAAGTAGGAACAGAGAATGACAGGGAGACAATGAATACAGTGAATACATTTTCCCCCTAATACCCACTGGTATAAGATCAAATCTAAAAAAAAAAGGTAAAAAATGGTAAATGGACTGCATTTATATAGCGCTTTCACAGACCCAATGGCCACCAAAGCGCTTTACAATTTTGCCTCACGTTCACCCATTCACTCACTCATTCATACACCAACGGGCGTATGATTTATTGTCCTTTTTATTGTCCTTCAAGAAAGGACAATAAAATCTATAAAATTATAAATTCAAAAAAGTGTCAGGAATTCTGGACGCATAAATCAGAATATGGATGGGACCAAATTTAGAATTGATCATATCAGAGAAGAGAGCATCAAAGCGGTCATCAAAAACAAATGACAACAACAAAAAATCAGTGTCACAGATAAATCAAAACAAATTGTACAATTGGACACAGAGAGACACATGTGTTTCATATTAAGACTAATTATTAAAATCCAAAGTATTATCTGTTTATATTATTTAAGGTACCTGAGCTTACATGAACTAACAATAAACAGTTGCATTTTTATTAACTAAAGTTAACAAAGATGAATAAATACTATAACAGCTCATTGTTAGTTAATGTTAGGTACCTTCTACTGTACATTAACTAATGCTAACTAATGGAACCTCATTGTAAAGTTTTACTATTAAAAGTCATACTGCTCTATTTTTTTATTCTTCTAGAGGTAAATCTTGAAATAAATCATTCGTTTTGTTCCAAAAAATTGGACAGAATTTGCTTTATGCTTTATTTTTTATTCAACAGCTCATAGTAACATATGAAACGTGACTGAACATTTTTTTTATGGCTTGATACTTTGTTATTTGCTGTTTGTAGGACTTTTTTTAGTTTTTAGTTTTTGAGGTCTGTTGAAACAAAACAAAAATTATATATATATATCTATATAGACATTTGGGCAATACTTAGATGTTGTTTGACAACCCTACTTCTCAGGATGTGATGTACATAATATGATGTAGTTTTAAAAACGTACATTTCTGAACTATAAAGTTACCTACCTTCTAAACTATGTACTATGTTACGCTGTTGCTGTAACTATGTTGTTGAGTGAAACTGTTTCCATTGCATAGACAATTTTGTTAAGTGTGTGTTAGTGTTACCTTGCGCTTCCGTCCCTTCCCTCTTTCTGACTCTGATGAGCTCTCTTCACTGGATATGAACTCTCGACTCTTAAAGCTGTCGTTGCCTGTTGCTCGCTCCTTCTCTTTCTCCTTCCCACCACCTGACTTCTTTTTCTTCTTTTCTTCATTCTTCCCTCCTTTCTTTTTCCTCTCCCTTCAGGAATAAAATGTGGTAAAAGAGTGGGACATAGCCAATTATTAATGCTGACATCATAGTTTGGAACAATGGTGATTGCGAGTTAGTAAATTACAGAATTTAAATTTTTGGCTCAATTAGTAAGCCGTAGGACAAGGCTATTTGAATATTTTGAGTACTTTTTTGAGCTGCTTGAGGATCCTCCACCACTCTCCTTGTACTCTCTCATCGCTCGCTCATAGTCTTTCTTTGCTTCCTCTGCTTTTCCTTCCCACTCCTGTTGGAATGAACAAGACACAGGTATCAGTTCAAGTTTAAAGTATACCAAGACAGTTAGACGGAGAAAACAAAGGCATTAAAGGGATAGCTCACCCAAAAATGAAAATTAGCCCATGATTTACTCACCCTCAAGTCATCCTAGGTGTATATGACATTCTTCTTTCAGACGAATACAATCAGAGTTATATTAAAAAATGTCCTGGCTCTTCCAAGCTTTATAATGGCAGTGAATGGCCGTTTCTGTTTTGAAGTCCATAAAAGTGCATCTATCCATCATAACAGTGCTCCACACGGATCCGGGGGGTTAATAAAGGCCTTCTGAAGCGTTTGTGTAAGAAAAATATTAATATTTAACACGTTACAAAGTAAAATTCTAACTTCCGGCCATAACCAGTCTACTTGCGCCTAATGTGCAACTTGTTACGTCGGGAGTAGTGTAGTGCGTCATGGCGTAGCGTAAATATCAGCAGTACATTGCATTACCCGCATAAGTTGTGCTTAGACTTAAGTCGAATCCGTATGTTTGTTTGGCCGGATGCTAGTTATTTTACTTTATAAAGTTTTAAATATGAATATTTTTCTTAAACAAACACATCACATAACCCCCCGGAGCCGTGTGGAGCACTTTTATGATGGATAGATGCACTTTTATGGACTTCAAAACAGAAACAGCCATTCACTGCCATTAAAAATCTTGGAAGAGCCAGGACATTTTTTAATATACGGTAACTCCGATTGTATTTGCTAAAAGAAGAATGTCATATACACCTAGGATGACTTGAGGGTGAGTAAATCATGGGCTAATTTTAATTTTGGGGAGAACTATCCTTTTAACATTGTGAAAGGTCCAAGTGAATGTGGTAGAGACTAGAGTCACCTCTTTCTTGTCTTTGCTGATTTGTTTCCACATTTCCCCAGCTTTTTTCGAGATCTCTGTGACAGAGATGCCTGGGTTCTCTGATTTAATGCGGTCTCTGCTAGAGTTCAACCAGAGCATGTAGGCACTCATTGGCCTCTTGGGGGCGTTAATATCCTTTGCTTTTTTCTACACACAAGAACACACAAAGTAGAACTGAATGTGTAAGTACTTGTACTGCTTGTACTTACTTGTAGAAACCCTAACGATCACCAACAAATTTTATCATTCACTCTTCTCTCTTTTGTCACCTCTTTCTTGCGTGGTTTTCTTTCTTTTACAAATTTAGCTTTCTTGGCTGGTTTCTTCTTTCGGTCTTCATCACTGTCCCCGCCATCAGCGCTGCTTTCACTGGCAGAGGCCTTACTGTCGTACCTAACACACACAAATATGACTTTTTATTAGGTATCAGATTTTTTCATTTTATGAAGAAAGTGTAAGTGTGTTTGCCCCCTTAACACTAGGGTGTTATGTGTGGTTTTGAGTATCAAATGTCATTGATAGTAAGGTACTTTTATAGGTGCTTTTTTACTAATTTGTTGTTAATACTTATAGTTACGAGTTTGTTCAAGTATGAGCAATAGTAATAGTGATGTTTTCCTTAGCAAGCACCACTAATTGAAGCGGTCGCAAACAGATCAATGCAAAGCCTCTTACTCCTCTGCAATATCATCATCTTCTTCTCCAGGATTAAAAGATTCATCTGGGGGGAGAAAAAGTCAATTCAAATGTTAATTTATCTCACACAACACATATTCTGTTCAGCCAAGCCAGTTGTAATTTATGACACCCAAATACAGTTGCAGGTAGGTGTGGCTAATATAAACAAATTCTTATCTCAATGCAAGTAATTTTATTTCATGAGAACAATATATATCGCAATATAGTTATTTTTCCTGGAAATAAGGTTGTTTTGATACCAACATTTTAGATACTACTGACATTTCACAATTTTCTACACCAATTTCGATATCACAGCAAAAAAAACAATTTTAGCCTAACTAGCATAAGTCATCAAGCTTATAGAAAACAAGTAAACAGTCATTAATAAAATAAGAATGATTGGCTCAGAGAGCTGCCACTCACCACTCTCGCCCTCTGAGTCGTCACTGTCATTGGCCTCCTCACGGATCTTGCCCTCTTCTTTCATGCGCTCCAGGTACGCATCATGCTGGTCGTCGTCCGAGTCGCTGTACATGTTGTCATTACCTTTCATACCCTGATAGAATACAAATCAAAATGATATCAATGCAATATCAACATCATGTCATTGCAAGGTTAGTATTTGTAACAAAGCGGACACAGGAAACCCTTTCCAAGCATAGATTTCAAACCCATTCATGTTCCCATCCTCACCGGCCTCTCTCTCACACACACAGTACGGTACTTTCATATAAGCAATCAGTGTTAACTCATTCAAAAGCACGCCCTTGAGCAACGCTGTGTTCATAGCACACAGAATTGTTTAGAACACATGTTTTTTTTGTAAAGCGACCACAACATTAAATACAGATTTCAGATGAAATACTGTTGCAGTCTTATAATGACGTCTGAGTGATCTTAACACAGCGTTCACCTGGTCAAATCATAAACCAGTGAGCCTGGCCATCTGACATCTGCTTTAAGCCTTCAAAGATAAGAGAGAATGCTTTCGACACTCGGGTTGTGATTGTGACACGCAAACAAACACCATGCAAGCAAGTTATTGGAGCACCGACACCAAACCGCAGGACAATACCAACCTTTTTCTACATGAACACAATACAGACATACAGCACAAACACAAAGAGTAGAATAAGTGTCCGTCCACTGTGTGAGGGGTCTATATGGACATGTCTATGCAGATGAAAATGGTGCTTGATAGGACAGAAAAAGGACTGTAGGTGTACCTCTTTAAAGCCTCTGTTCTTGATGCTTAACTTCTTAGCATTGACGAAGTCAAAGAGTTTCCCATATTCTTCCCTGAAGAAGAAGGTAGAGATAGATTGAACATATAAAAACAAAGAGAGGATGAAGGCTCTTTTAGTGAGTTAAGGCCCGTTCACACCAAGAACGATAACTACAACAATAACTATATTAGCGTCCACAACAATACGACGATAACATTGTTTTTTCTAAGAGCACTGCAGTTATGTCGTCTGCTGCTTTATAGGTGGAGTAAGCAATTTCTGAGAAACTAAAAATTGTGTTTGTACATAGTCCTGGCTGTGTAAATAGGAGAAAGAAGTGGATCAGACCGATCAGACTGAGCACCACAATACTCTTGTAGCCAATCAGAAGTAGGGGGTGTATACGCTCATGACGGGGGAGGAGAGAGAGTGAGCAAGCAGGACATTTGTAGAAAGACTGTAGAGAAAGAGATGGCTGATATATTGCAAAATGGAAAAAGGCAGAGGAATATAATTGAAGAAAGGTTACGATTAGGCACCCAAGTTAATAATGGAAAAGCTTTCCAGCGCTGGAGTTACGTTAGAGAACGTGAAGGCCTGAAAACGGACACAGAGGTCGCATTTTTCCTGCTCGATATGCGAGTAACATTGGTTTTGATATGTTTCAAAGATATGCTGTTTTTGTAATATCAGCTATAGTAACGGGACAATCTGATGCGTCAGCTGTTAGTCAGTGTATGTATTGCATAGCGTGTTTGTTATTTTGGGGGTGGAGCGATGAGGGTAGGGGGTGTGTTTGTTTGGGTGTCAATTTCAAATATCAGCAGTGTTTCTCAGAAATTGCTTACTGCACCTTTAAATGCTCAAGCTCTTTAAAGTTGGGTGGATTCTGATTGGCTGTCGATGTTTTTAACATTCATCAGCTGGAAATAATCATTCCTCTGTGTCATTATCATTATATCCGTGGTGTGGACTTCCCTATTCATATAAAATTAGAGTGAAAATTACAACTTTATAGTTACACTTAGTTATTGTCATTGGTGTAAACAGGCTGGTGCAGTATTTGTCAATTGAAAAAGTATCTTTAGTATGTTAAATAGGGAAAGCTTGTTTAGTGAGATTTGTTTTTCTATATTAGCTCATTGTGATGTGTTTTAGATTTGAAGCGCAGTACGTTTTTTGTGTGTATCGTTTTTACAAAAAGAACGTACCAGAATGGTTGAAGAATGTGTTAAAGGGATAGTTCACTCAAAGAATGACATTTCTGTCATCATTTACTCACTCTCATGTCAGTCCAAACCTGTATGACTCTCTTCTGTGGAACATGGAAGAAGATCATTTGAAAATTTGAAAGTGTTTTGGACTTTCATTGCATGGACAAAAACAGAAAGCCAAACAGGTTTTGAACGACACGAGGATGAACTGTTTTCAAGAAACTGTTGCTTCTGCCACATTAATCTGATGTGTTGGTGTATTGATTCAGTCATAATATGGACCCAACTGGAAATACTGTAATGTGCCTAAAGTAGCTTTGTTCCCCTTAACATCTAATGTAGAAGGGGTCAGGTCACTAAAAGAGAGAGGCTCTTTTACTCCAGTATAAGACAAAGCAGAAAGAATCACCACAAAGAGGCAGCATAGACTTTCTATGGCAGATGGGGGTTAAGTGCTCAAGGACATAATGGCAGGAAGTGCCTTAAAGAGGATATTGGACACTGGTCTTTTCATTACTGGTATGGTCTAGTTCCCACAAAGCTATGTTCCCGACAAGTGGACAAGAATAACATTAGGCTTATGGGTACCTCTCGATGCTGCTGAAGGTGTACTGATTGCCCTGCTTGGTCTCAATCTCAAAATCGAAGGAGCGAGTGGTGGTGGTTCCACGGGCGAAGTTCACGCAGGCGATCTCTTCAAAGCGCAGGTGCACCGGGGGCTTGTGCACATAGATAAAACCTCTTTCCAAAGGATACAACAGCCCTGAAGTGGCCTTATATGAACATGTTATACACTGAGCTCCTGAGTGACTACAGAGAAGAGAGGGAGACATAATGATACTGGAAGTGATCAGACTTCATAAAATTTACTGGTATTATTTTGTACTACATACAGTAATGTTCAAAACGTTGGGGTCAGTAAGATTTAAAAAAAAAAGAAATTCATACTTTTTGCAGCAAATATGCATTAAATTGACCAAAAGTGACAGTAAAGACATTTATAAAGTTACTATTTCTATTTAAATAGTTAAAAAAATATATTTATTCATCAGCATGTTAGAATGATTTCTGAAGGATCATGTGACACTGAACATTGGCGTAATGGCTGCTAAAAATTCTTCTTTGCATCACGGGAATACATTCAAATATATTAAAATAGAAATCAGAAAATTGAAATTAAAAATTATTTTGATCAAATTACTGTTAAAAATAAGAAATAAATCAGAAAGATTTGATTCAATGGCAATGTTTCAGGCATTAAGGAAGGAGGACCTTAAAGATATAATATTAACAATGTGTAAAAGAAGCTATATATTGTTTTGTTAGATAAAACTGTCAACGTAAATTTAATTCATACATTTATTTATAAAATAATGTTCATTTTATTAATATGTTTTTAAAATATATGTTATGTTTTTAAAATATAATATTCTTTTATTTTACAGTCATTTACTGTAGTCAATTTTGGTATATTATTTATGTTTTGTATGTGTTTTACCCTTGGAAATTTCCCGGCACTGTGATCTTCCTGTTGACCAGGGCCTTCATGACTCTGCTTACCATCTCATAGAGAGAGCCAGACATGTTTTTATTAAGTTTCCCTTCAAAACGTCTCTCCACCTCTTCCCTGCAGAACAGGGAAACAGAGAGAAATAATACTGCTGGATGGCAACACATAGTGAATGAATCAGGAAATGACAGCAGAATTCAATTCAGTTGTTCAAGTGAACAATTCCTTTAACTCCATGTTGCTCCAAGGTTTAAGTCCCTGTACTAAGTGTATTGTAATTTGCCAAGGATAAAGCATCTGCTAAATTAAATAGTATCATTGACCTTGTTGAAGTGAAACAGCTGCTCAGGAAGTTATTTTTTGACATAACACTTCACAGAATATAGCTAAACATAACTGCACACACAAAATTAATTTCTCTTTCGTATCTCCTTTTAGTCTCGGCAGAAAATGTAAACAGTTTATTTCTGACACCCATCACATCCTTCACCAGTCTTACTCATTCTCTGTCTCTCTCGCTCTCACTCACTCGTTCATGTTGAGAGTGAGGCTGATGTCCTCTTCCTTGGAGAACAGAAGAATGAGAAAATGGTAGCGGGTTTGACCCTGTTTAATGGGCGGGTCCAGACTGATCTAAAAGAGAAGAGAGGTTGCAGGTCTTATATCAGACAATCAGACACACAGATTAAAGCCCTCTAATACTAGCCCTAAAGATGGATCAGAGACACTTTTACAGACTATGATGCCCCACTTACCACAAAAAACATCTGCCGCTGGTCTTTATGAGGCAACAGGAAAAGGCGGAGCACTGTGGTGTACGGGATCTTGTAGTCAAACGTCTTACCATGCAGATGGAGGAATGTCGGATAAATACGGATATCGTACCTAGAGAGAGAGAAAAAAACATCATGTTCTGCTACTTCACACTTTTTTATTTTTATTTTAAAGGGAAACCTGAAAAATTGTGAGGTAAATATCTTGGTGTGTAGGTGTATGTACCTGCCCCTAGGTGTGAGGCACTGCAACTCTCTGAAGATACACACAGCATCTCCTGTGGCCTGGATGACATCTGCTTTGGACAAAACGTTCTGAGCAAATGCCTAAAACAGCAGAGAAGAGTACTGTGACCTCAATTTGCATTTCAGTTTAAGTTGGCTTTAAGGATGTAAATGTTGTACTTTAGGGTAAGAGTTTTTAAACTGGGATCTGGGGGACCCCAGGGGAATGAAGAGAGAGAAAAACCCATGTAAAATATAAAAATAAATGCATAATAATAAAAAAAAAAGATGAAACTAAACAAATAATACAATTTTTCAAATAAATATTTAAATAATAAATACATTCTAAATTATAAATAACACATCTAACAATACATTATTTATAAAGTATAATTATTCATCTAACAATAGTATGAATTTTCTCTATATTGTAATCATTATAATCACAACTTGTAATATTTGCTTAAATGAGATCATTATTTCTGCCTAAATTATTACATAATATTAGCTAACTGGTTGATTTATATTATCTTAGAACTGTATATTTTTGACATATGGACAATACTTTGACACAGTCAAGTCTGAAAACAGATCACTCTAAATTGTAATGTTACAAATATGCATTTTTCTGTAAAGCTGCTTTGAAACGATACGCATTGTGAAAAGCGCTAAACAAATAAATGTGAATTAAATTGAATAGTACTATAGTGAGTAGATTTTTTAAAACCATTTTAAACATAAAAGAAAACTACATTTTTCCCAAATAATATTTTACACATATTTATAGTATTGATTTGTTACAGTATAATTTGGGTTTTTATACACAAAAATGTATAGCTGTCTTTTAAATTTTAGGATTGGGGTACCTTGCATGAGGATGATCATATTTGGGGGTCCGTCATGGCATCTAAAAGATTGAAACCCTTTGTTTAGGGGCATGTTATGATTGTTGCTTGGTAAACTACGCCATCTGCTGGTCAGTGTTAGGTAGGGGTGGACACACACACATACACACACACACACACACACACACACACACACACACACACACACACATACACACACACACACACACACACACACATACACACACACACACACACACACACACACACACACACACACACACACACACACACACACACACACCACACCACACACACACACACACACACACACACACACACACACACACACACACACACACACACACACTTACCTCCACAGGGTCTGAACCTTCGTCTCCTGTGCTGGGGGGGACGTAGAAGCGCACCTCCATGAGGGATACCTCTGTGTCATCATTCTGATGAAACTCCACAGTGACCTCATTCTTTCCCGTTGCACACTGGGATACACTGGAGAGTGGAATCTCAAATGCAGGACTGTCATTCACCTCAAAAGAAAGCAACGGCCCTGAAAAGCCACAGAGGGGCAAAGAGTTTAATACCTTGAAATGGCAGTGAAAAGACATTTTCAAGCTAAGCGTATTAAAAATGCAATGCTGGAACATGCAATTGGTTTAGATATTAACAGTTTTTTCATTATTTATAGCAGTCGACTGATATCGTTTTTTTTTTTATATATGATATCACAGATATTTATTTAAAGATTGCAAATAATAACACATGTAAAAAAAACTGCTGTAATGAGATTTATATTTATTTTAAATAATATTTATTAATAAATTAATTAATCAATATGAAAAAATAATAACCTGTAAAATAAAAAGATTTATACTTAGCTAGTGCATGATTCTATAATCCTATTATATATATATATATATATATATATATATTATAAAGAAATTATTAAAAAATAAAAAGGAAGTAAACACTGTAACCAACAGTGCACTCAGTCATCTGGTAAGTCTGTATGCACTGGGAATCATATTTTCTCAAATAAAGACCAGGTAGCACTAATGACAAATGTACACAGTGAATATGACAGCGGCTAAATGAATATTGCACAGCATATTTTGAAATCAAGGATTTAAAGTTGGTGTATGAGAAAGTATCATAGTATTTGCCTTTCTATTTAGCTAATAATACATTAATAACACTGTAATACTTTTTGTTTACCATTTACTTTCCTTGTTTAACAGTTCTAATAATCTATTAGACATAACTGTTAAACAAACAAAGTAAACTAATGAAAGTCCTGCTTCCGGCAATTAGTCACAAAGAAAAACTTATCTTTGTGATTAAACAATGACAAATATCTGCCTTTATGATATATACCACTAATCTATCTTTCTATTATAGACCATAGAAACTTCATTCTTAAAAATAAAGGTTCTTTATTGGCATCTATGGTTATGAAGAACATTTTACATCCATGGAACGTTTTCATTGCACAAAAGGTTCTTTATAGTTCTTTAGATTATAAAAATGTTTTTCCCACTTTTTTAAGAAAAACATGGTTCTTTTAAAAACTGTTCACTGAAAGGTTCTTTTGGGAACCTAAATTTTTTTTCAAAGGCATTGCTGCAAAATCCCCTATTTGGAACTTTTATTTTTAAGAGTGTTGAATTAAGTAAGGTCACTATACAAGATGCAACTGTACATATCTCAGAAATAGCGTTGCATCAGGAGTGCACTGACCATTAAATTTAGCAGTTCCCCAATTCCAGCCCTTCACACACATATCTTTCTCCATCAGCTCCACTTTGTAGTTGGCTTTGAAGTACTCAGAGATCTTGTCAAGGTCCTGTACATAAAGAGATGGATGAAAATTTAAGGCATTGAATGAAGGGGTGGAGCGTGGGAGGTATTTTGATTGATTGAATTTTGTATCCCTGACTCACAGTGTCTTTGAAGCCATCATATTTGTAGATGTGACCAGTGGTGGTGCACAGTTTGATGCCGTGACCCAGACAGACTCTCCTCCACTGGGCCTGAGTGAGCTCAGAGACCCCGATGCTGTCCACCTTCCCAGTTTTACTGTTTTTAAACACCACTGTCTGCTTACTGAAGCGCAGACGGCCATCATTCTACAGAGAGAGGTAAGTCAGTCGTTTTTGTTCAGTGTTTTCTAGAATAACATCTCAGATTAGACACCAAACTGCTGGAGCCTCTACTCACCCAGGTGCCCTTGACCTCCTGATAAATTTCATTGAATTCCAGAGTGTCACTCATGTCAGCCACTCCAGCTTAGACAGAGTGGACCTGTGACGTTCAAAAGCTGCGACAGCAGGGGTAAAATCATAAATACACACATCATACCGTATTCATATAGCTTCTTTGTTTTTCACTGCCTGTGGCATTATGAATTCGCCAATGAAGGAAAGCTCTTTGAATCTCTTTGAAGGAAAGCTCTTTTAACTTTTTCTTGCAGGTTGATTTGGATGTAAACAGTTAGCTTTGATCTGTAAAATAAAACTTTGCGAAATTAAATATTTTGCAGGTGCACACTATACATTGTTTTCTAACTGTAAACAAATAAATAGAGCTAGCAACGCAACCATACTCGGCCATACAATAGCGGCTAGTGTTTTTTTCTGTTTTGTTACGAACGACTTATTTTAAATTTACAGTAAATTTCAAGCAGTAATAGTTTATTTCAAACCATTTTATTGCATTTATTGCACAGAAAATGAAACGTGATATATTTGAATCAGAATTACTGTAATTCGGCGAGAGGATCAAGGCCGACTCGAGTCCTGTGTGCGTAGATGTGCGGAGCGCAGAGCTACGCGTTCATCATCATGACGCCATCACGCTCTGTGCGTGGCCCCGCCCTCCCTATTGAATGTCAGTCTGTTTTGTAAACGATCGAACCACAAAGCGAAAGTTAAAAGGATTTGACGGAGACAACTGTCAACATTCGCAAATATTTTATCATCTGACAACGTTCTAGCAGCATTCAGGTATGCCGTAAATTTAAAATATAAGGGGATGCACATGCACTTTTGCAGAAGCTTTATACTCGAGATTGCATTGTTGTTGTTGTTCCATCGATCGATTAATAAACATCACCTTTAATGGATTTTTTTAATCGAAAATTGGAATGCTACACAAAAATAGATTGTTATACTTTGTTTAAACATACATGCGTTTCTTGGTCGAATGGGCTAGAGCATCTGTCCAAAGATCTGCGTGGTGCTGCGATATTGTGTTATTAACAAAATGTATAAACCCCGTGTTGTTCACAAAACAACATTATGCCTTTAACACATAGACTACTTATCGAATTAGCTTGTTGAAATAAATAATTTAATCCTGCCAATCAATCATCTTGCTCAATAAGCACTGTGTTCCCAAAAATGAAGAATCATTGACTCACCACCTCCTGTTGGAAACACTTCATTACATTATTAAATCAAAGATGATCTAACATGAACGTGAAATGAAAAGTTGGGTTACACTTTATTATAATGTGTCACTGTTACAGTGTAATTATACATTTAAGTACTGAGTAATTTGAAGTAACTATGTATTCACTATAGGGTAGTAGGATTAGGGTTTGGTTTAGGGTGAGTTGCATGTAATTTATAATTATTACTTATAAACATGTAACATGTAACAAGGACACTTTAAAATAAAGTGTTACCAACAGTTGATTTTTCATTAACTAACGTTAATACAAATTAATACATAACAAACGTTTCTCAACGTTTAATAATGGGACCTTACTGTGTAAAATGTTACCAACTATCTTTCATTTTAGATATGACACCTAAGCGTGGCCTCATCACCGACACCTTTAAGGTTGTAAAGAAGGCAAAGAGAGGGGGCAAGAGGAACAAGTCTCCTTCCCCGCCAAAAGCAGGTAGGACAGTTTGTTTCATTGTGTGTATGTGCATATTATTATTTACATAAAAGAAGAGATCTGCAATGTCATTGTATTCCTAAATTATGCAAATTATTTAAAGGAGCATGTAAATGCACCAGTAGTCTAACAGCATTTATAACAGATTACTGATATTACTGATCAGAGCCTGAGCCCCCACAACCGAGTGAAAGAGAAAAAGATCTACAAGAACTGAAGAAGTTTGATCTGGACTGGAGTTTCGGACCATGCACAGGTATCATCAGTTTAATTAACCAATATCTGTTACATTATTATGCTGTTTATTTCTGTATTTTTCATGTAGCTTCTGAAGCCCACTAATATAGAACCCTGAAAACTGTCGGCTTTATCACTTTAAGGTCTTGAATTCTTTTGTTGCAAGCTTTGTCTGTATCTTGTTCACATTTTAAAGTGTGTTTACTTAAAAAATAAAACTAGGTAGTACTAGTCCTGAACCTATAGGCAGAGACGGCCTTTGCAATTCGGAGGCCTGTTTCAAAGAAACAGTTGGAGGCCCCCCATCATTCAAACGATTTGTTAATAACGTGTAACGAAATTCATTTAGTATTCAACATAACGAAAACATCACTGTGTTGCTCGGAGACACGCAATGGCTCTGTGGATTTTTGTTTGGAACTATTCTTGTTGGAAAAATACTGCAAAGACAGACAATGTTCTAAGGCTAAAATGAAAGTCACCTAACATTAACTTTGTATGAAATCAAGAGACTATTTTGGTGGCATTTTTGCCCTGTTCCTTTCCGTGATTGCCAGGACGGGGCTCTTTTTTGAGTGCAAGCGGACGGAGGCCACTTCTTTTGTGGGCCCGTTTCAAGTGAACATAGCAAAAACTACTGCTTGTGTAGGGCAAGATGACCCCCTGCCTTAATTTTTTCTCCTGGGCATAGATAGCACAAAATCTCATCTCAGCTCTTTTGCTAAATGGGTATACTATTTTTAATATAATGTAATATACACTTAATATAAACATTTGTGAGATAAAGTGAGGTTAATTATTATTATTATTATTTTTTCTAGAAAATAGTGATCTATGACATTATATTGTGTTGAATAATGTGTGTATTTGTTAATGAAGGATTTTTTGAACACATCAATGTTTTTGGATTTGTGGAGTAAAATATATAATTTTTATTTTAAAGTAAAAAGATAAAATGAGACCCTTGGGGTAAGATGAACCCCCCAGAATTGGCACAGAAGGCCCAGGGTGGCATGCTGTAACTAGTGTTATTATTTTTAAATGTAATACTTATTGTTATTAATGGGGTCATTTAATATTTCCACGAATTAGACATTTCAGACATCTTTGCCTTCATTTAAACCTAGGTTAATTGAGTGAAATCATTCAATCTGATTTCACAGTGTTTCTATTATGACATATCTTCAATTAAAATATGGGCAATTAAATATGTAAATATTCATATGCCTGTATATAAGTCATAGGATAATTTTGCCTTTCAGATGAATCTCTTTTACTGGGATTCTGCTTTGTCTGTCATCCGTTATTCAATAATTTGAATTTAAAACTAATTGTCAAAATAAAATGTTAAATAGAATAGTTGATTTAGTATTTTACATTAATGACACTTTAAAAATATATATATAAATATCAAATGTGTATATTTATTTTAACACATTAGCTGATGCATCATCTTACGGGGGGCATCTTACTTAGTACTTTCTTGGGTAAATAGACTGTAAGTACATTGAAAATGCATGTACTGTAAAATAAAGTGTGTGTGACCCTATGTGTATGTGCGTGTGTGTGTGTGTGTGTGTGTGTGTTAGGGATCAGTCGACTGCAGAGATGGGAGAGGGCAGCACTGCATGGGCTGAATCCCCCGCACGAGATTAAAGACATTGTTCTAAAAGAGTACACTGACCCAGAGTACACACAGAGGTATTACTCACACATTCTCTCTTCCTTTTACACATGCAGAAACCACACAAACCAAAGGCTTTATCGCTAACACTCACTTTCCCCTCCTCTGTTTCAGTCTCTGGCGTGACTATCCCCTCTGAAAAACTGATAGAGAAAAGACAGAAAGGGGTGAAAAGAAGAAAAAACTTTTATAGTGTTTGATATGTTCTACTATGTTTGCTTTGCTGTTTATCACACTACATTTTATTAAACATTTTTTCTATGCAAAAGCTATCATTGTTGAGTCTCAGGCATTTATAAAACAATCATGATTTACAGTGCACCTGCTACATATGCATACACTTATCAGGTCCTCATATCCTCAATTTTTTCAATTTAATCCATCTTATTAGCATATTATTAGTAGAGACTCAAATGATTTATCATCTGACAACATTGCAAATGTCTGGAGTAGTTTAGCATTCAGGTATGCAGTGGTGTTCAAAGATATGTAAGGGGATGCATATACTGTATAATTTTAAAGGAGCTTATACTAGAGTTGGAAGCATAATTTATCAATCGTTTATATGACCTTTACTGGGGACTTTAATGCAATTTATTTTCAATTGAAAACATGTAAGCTACACAAATGCATTGTTTATACTTTATTCTAATACATACAATCACTTGTTTGTGTAATGGCATCTTTTGTGGCTAAATACCTCCCTGTGGTGTGAGCTGCAATATTTCCTAATTAACAACTTTTTTTTTTTTTTTAAGTCCACATTGATTTAACTTCAATGGTACACATTTTAGTGAGCACTCAATAGTTTGCATAGAAATAATTGAGATTAATAACTTTAAGCATTTCTAGCAGTTAAAAGGGGTTTTACAGTAAGGCATATGTATATATAAAATATATCCTTACAGGAATTACAGCAGCTCCTCTAGAGAATGGTATTAATTAGGGGCAGATAATTATGGCAACAATTGAAATAGGTCAGATCCCTTTCTTCCCCATCAGCCTTCTGTTTGACTGGAATACCCTTATAATAGCTTCAAGTCGGCATGTATTATGAGTTTAAACAAATTTGCAGGTTCGTCATATCGACCTCGTACACTTGTGGACCGACTAGTGCGTCATGACATTACAATAAACCTCCCTTGAGTGACAGATGGTTGCGGGGGAGGGGCTGGATTATTGACCCGAACGACGTTGTTCCGTCTCTTCAGCTAGAGTTGTTTCTCATTGGTTCCCAACATAGACAGTGTTCCCAATTGCGTCACTTAACATTTACGTAGTCTGATTGGCTAATGTAATATTAAATTATGTGGCGTATCTACTTGTATACTGTCGCACGCAACGGTCACTGGTTAAACAGAAGGCACAATGCGGGTGGAAACCCCGCCCTCCTGCAGCAAGAACGAGAAGGCGGGGTTATCAGAAGAGGAACAAAGATGATTTGTCCAGTCCAGCCGTCAGGATGATGTTTTGGTCGCTCATTGGCTGCAGCGCTGCCCATCGATGTCTAGGACTGGAAGCTCCTACGGTAATAATGTCGCTCAGTGACCTAGTATTAAATAAAGCGACGGTTATAGCTAGGCGGTAGCGCGGATTATAGCATCGGCTTTGCCATTTTAAATACTACCGGCACATTAAGCAAGGACCGACAGCGTCGTAAAATCCACCTAAGAAGTCAATTATTCATCTTGGAGTGGATTTTTTTTGTATAATTTTCCGGATCATGCTGAAATCAGAAGGAAAACGCATAGCAGAAAATCATCATTTGCCTTGAGCAGCGCTGCAGTGCCATCACTCTGCCTCTGTCGTACTGGATTTCAACAGCAGATCGATCTACAATACCTCACCGCATTGGGTTATTATAACGGGGATATTCTCTCTTGTCGCGGTTAAGTATACGTTAACGGTTTAGTATAACGGAAGTTGTTGGTTTTGCAGAGGACTGAATTAAAGTTAACCTGGTGAGTAAGGTGTTGTGTCTGATAATACAATAGATTGAGGGAATATCGATCACTGTACTGCATGATCAGTCATTTAGAGGGAATCTGATGTGTGCGCGGATTTTGTTCAGTCAGCTAAGAGCCAAACTTGACAGCAAGATAAACGATTCACAGCTTTTAATGAGTCGCTGTTATTTACGTTACATTTGCATCGTCATTTGCTAGGGCATCAAGTGAACTACGCAGCTGAAACATTTAGTCTCTGGTGTTTCATAAATAATAATGTGTGAATTGTTTTCTGAAACATTTTCTCATAGTGTTCTTGAATGTATTTATTTTGAATTGTTTTCTTCAAAAGTCACCATAATAGCCGAACTTGCAGGTAAGGTAACAGGTGCGCACTAGTTTCAATACAGCTAACGTACATGAAAATTGTTATTTTAAGGTGTGCCTGTTACAGTGTAATAATACAATTAAGTACTGAGTAATATTAATTAACAACATGCACTTACCATAGGGTTTGATTTAGGGTAAGTTACTTAATTATACATAATTTACTGTTATTACTATAGTAAGTACATGTAACGCATGTTACCCCTGGTTCTTTTTTTTTCAGACAACGATAAACAACACGTTCAAACAGATTTTAGCTTACATTACGTTTACGTTAGGATACTGTTTTTTTTTTGTGAATATTAAAAGCTCCCTCTAGTTCTTGAAAATGAAAGGGATTGTCATTATTTAACCATCATGTTGGTCCAGACTTGTAGAAGATGTTAGATAGTAAGACTCAGTCACCATTCACTTCCATTGCGTATTTTGTCCATACAGTGAATGTGAAAGGTGACTGAGACATCTATCTCACACTTGTGTTTTTCACACAAGAAAGTAAGTCATACTTGATATGGTAACAACATACATGAGGTTGAGTAAATTATGACAAAAATTTAATTTGATGGTGCTGGCCCTTTAAAAGCATCTTAAAGATAAATTCTTCTCTTGCAGGGATGGACAATGCCCATACAAAGACGGTTGAGGAGGTACTGGGATACTTCGGTGTCAATGAGACAACAGGACTGAGCTCTGAGCAATTAAGGAAAAGCAGGGAAAGATGGGGCACCAATGGTATACAAATACAAGTGTTTGTGCAATATGAACAAGACGTAATTTCATGATGACATTTAACCTCATACTTCTACCCATTTAACCTTATATCTGTTTTTTCTTCTGCCCATTTTTGTTTTATTTTCCTGTAACCTGTGCCACAGAGTTACCTGCAGAAGAAGGTGAGCTCTTCCCTTGGGTTTGCGTAATTATTAGCAGATCTTTCATCATATTCTTTGTTGCATGGGGGATGCTGGTTGTGTAGTTAATTAGAGTTATTATTGGATTCCCTTGAGGAGGTTGGATGAGGTTTGCACTCTCTTTGTAGCTGAATAGATCTTGATTGAATGTTTCTTAGAGATGTTGTTTTTGTAAAGGTTTTCAATTGTTTACATGTTACACATTTTCTGAGAGTTATTTGTCACTTAAAGGACAAGTTCGGTATTTTACACTTAAAGGTGAACTAAGTAACTTTTTTACCTTAACCGAACAGCTTTGGAGTCATTGTAATGTTTATATTACTGATTTCGTGTTGAATGGTGGTCGTCTCGCACCCCCCTGGTGCCTGTGAGCCGCAAAACCACCCTTGCAACTTTGGGCCGGCGAGCCTGAGAGCCTGAGATATCAGGTCTCGCGAGGTAACGAATTGCTTTACGGCAAAAAAACAGATCTGATCAAATTCTGATAAAATGAGCATCAAACAGAAATAACCCGGCGCCGTATACATGTGGTGTTGGGCGCGCGCAGCTCTTAAAGGGGCCATACCTTATTTCCACTCGTTACAGCGTCCATCCTACTGAACAGGTACCGGTGTACAGGGGGAGGGGATCCGGCCGTGAGTGCGAGCTACCACAGAAACCGAAAATTCTCGGGCCAGCAGCATGTGTCCAAATTTCAATCTTAACCGTTCTATTTCATCAGAAACGATCTTAAAACAGGGCTTTAAGTGTAAAATACCGAACTTGTCCTTTAATGGAAAGGGATCTTGAACCTTTGTGATTGCCGTAAGTCTGTATAATCTTTGTTTGTGCATGTGTTTACAGGCAAGTCACTATGGGAACTTGTTCTGGAGCAGTTTGAAGATCTGCTAGTTCGGATTCTCCTTCTTGCGGCCTGTATTTCCTTTGTAAGTATAAATCAAAGGCCGCGTTTACTCTTATACTGTAATCAAGAGTAGTGCTGGCACAGGACAATAGCACAAGCTTTTCACAAAATAAACAAGTGACAATGCTATAAAACTCTAGCTACAGCGAATAATCAAAGAATCCCAAACTCCATTTATCCACAAATACTACTTGCCAAATGTAGTTATTCTGAAAAGCATTCAAGAACATGTACAATATATGTATATACTTACTGTACATATTCATACCAATATGTATACATTGTCAATAGCAGCAGCAAAAGTGTACCTACAGTAACAATTCTCTTTTTTCATAATGTAAGTACGTAGTAGTTAAAGACACTTAATATATTATTTAAAGTGTGACCCATATTTGTGCTTAACCTGCATACAAACGTTGTCATGCATAAATCATCATTAATAAGTGTGTTTGCACTAAATTTAAGCAAAAACTTAGAACCAACTCAAATCTTCATTTAGAATAATTTGAATCTTTATGTTAAAATGTATGTCTATGCATCTTTTGTGAATCTGGTGGAAATTTTGCATGGTAACCTTTTCTACCCACTAAAGAAAGTACTCTTGTACACAGTTACTAACGAATGAGAAATAAAAAAACATGTACATTATATTGTTACCAAAGCTTTGACAAACGTTTGCACTGACCATATTTTGCATCACATTCTCTCTCTTACAGACTCTGGCCTGGTTTGAGGAAGGTGAAGGAACCATCACAGCCTTCGTAGAGCCATTTGTCATCCTCCTCATTCTTATTGCCAATGCCATTGTAGGAGTGTGGCAGGTATTGCCTGTGAAATATGTTTTAAAAAACATTAATACAATGTAACTTAAATTATTTTAAGCCTGTGGATAAAGCAGTCATTTCTTTCTGTTGTACTAGAAATCACGTCTCACTGTGTGTGTGTGTGTGTGTATGTTTCTGTGCGTTGTAGGAGCGTAATGCAGAAAATGCCATCGAAGCCCTTAAACAGTATGAGCCGGAGATGGGGAAGGTGTACAGACAGGACAGGAAGAGTGTACAAAGGGTCAAAGCCAGGGACATTGTGCCTGGAGACATTGTGGAGGTGGCTGGTAAGAATGACAATTAGATTTCTACATCTCTTTTTTGTGCCACAATAAAATGCATTTAATGATAGGTTTGTGTAGTTTGTACATCTGTACACTGATGTATTTAATTCATGTCCTAGTTGCATTTTATAATATGTGTGCAACTAATTAGTTTCTCACAAGGCTGGAGTTGTCAAAAATAAAATGGTGGCAGTGTTTCCGGAAAAAAAAATAGAGGTCCACTCTCAAAGGATATGTCTGGAGATAATTATAGGACGTTGCTGAATAGAGATGGCTGTTTTGATTGTATAAGCCAATCAAAACTGCCTAGAATAGTCTGCTGCAGACAGATGCAGACATGTAGTAAGGATGTTTCTCAAGAAAATAGCAGACTGTTCCCACAGTTAAGCAAAGGATTGTCAAATACATTTTTGGCAAAGTTTGATTCTCTCCAAAAACCATGCAGAGTGAATATCTGAAGTAATGACTCCCGTGAGATTGCTGCCCAAGACTATGGGTTTCCCCCAACTTTATGAAAAATTACTCATCAGATTGTAGAACTTTTTTCATTAATCATTATCAGGGGTTCAAATTGTTATAGCATGTTATAGGTCCCTTGTGCATTAATAAAACAGTTTCTAATCGAAAGCACTGCCACCAATTCCAGGTTTATAAAGTTTGTGTTGATCAAATACTGTTTACATTTTTAAAACTGAGCTTGGGCTTTAGGCCAGTTGTGCTGTGAGAGCTGTCCTACCATTATTGTTGGTGAGCTGTGACTTGCTGTCACTGTTCCTTTTCCGTCAGTGGCGTTTTCACAGATTTATTTGCGAATGTTATCTTTGCGGACTATTTAAATTGTGTTGCCTTCTGTTTAACTGATGCACCTGCAATCGGGATGTCTTTGGAACTCGGTTGCTTTGAAAACTCACATGATCAAAGTCCTACTTGTCTGACCCCATTTATAGCTGATGCTCGTTGCTAATTGGCAATCAACCTAATTTGGCTCTCCTTTGCAGCTAGATTTGTAATTATGATTTGGTTACTTCAAAGTAAATCTATTATTCATTTAAATAAATGTACATGCACAGGGACGGCCAAAAGTCTGAGATCCCATTGAAAATCTGGGATTTACAAACATCCATCCATCCATTCTCCAAAGCGCTTATCCAATGTAGGGTCGCAGGGATTTTAAACAGTTTTAAAGAAATAAAATTATGTCAATAATCAAATAAGCAAATTTGTGACATTGACTATGTGAACTTTCAGTTCAGTCTTTCACTCAAATGATTATGCTGATAAATATTGTATATGCTGATATTTGAAGTTGAACTGTAAAAAAATACTAAATTAGAAAAATAGGAGCATTTTCTTTTCTTTATTTTCTTTCTATTTTTATTTGAAGCCATTTCTTGTTTTTTTTGGGATCTTTAGTATCAGATTTGACAGAAAGGGTTAAGACCCAGTCTCAGATTTTTCTTGGCCTGCCACTCAAAGTTCTATTCTAAGAATCCCAAAGCTAATGAATAAAATTAAGGTTGAGGTCCTTTTGTGTGCCGATCTGTATCTTGACTGACATTGGTTTCTAAAGATACAGTTGTGGTCAGAATTAATGACACCCTTGGTAAATATGATCAAAAATAGCTGTAAAAAATAAATCTGCATTGTTTATGCTTTTGATCTTTCATTCAAAAAATGTGCAAAATTCTAACCTTTCATTAAAGCTCCAGTCCGTAACTTTTTTAAGTTAAAAATAATCCAAAATAATTATATAAAAAAAAACCTTATTCTGCCAGTGGTCAAAACTATCTGCTTGACATAGCTAGATTCAAAACGGTTAGCTTGTAAAAATAATTTTAATTCCAGTGGTACTGGTGGGTTTCCGCGGGAAATTCGAGCATGTCTTTGCGTCATTACGTCACACCCGTACACATAAAGAAGGAGTTTCGGCTATAGCCGCCGCCGGCTATACTGCACGTGACGAGATGTTTAGATGTATAGGCTTTTCTCGCAGCACTTTACATAATTAAACTTATGGCATCCAGAAAGATCCAAACAACAATCATCAGTGTCAACTGGAGATTCAGCAGTTATAAAACCCAAAAGACTTCGTACTTCCGATTTAAGGTGGCTAGAGAAAGAGAAAGAAACCGTCTCATGCGAACACAAGGATTTAAACATCGGCGGGGCTTTTGAAAAGTGCGTGAACTCCGTGTTTTGAAGGGGTTCAAAACGGAAGAAGAGACGGCTTTTTTCTGCTGAACAAGTAAGACATTTCAATAGTTCAATCGTGTAACAGTACGTTTTCTTAATTCACACAGTTATGGAGTTTCCTTTGTTGTGCCTTTCTCGTTTTGCTATTATGGAGAATATGAATTCTGAACTACACAGGTAGCTGCTAACCATAAAACACATTAAATTTAACATTAGTCACGCAATGCTGATGTTGTTAACATGAACAATTTGAGAACAAAGTAGGCTATAATTTGCACGGTTGCTGTAAATCGCGTTGATTAAATCTAACGAAGCTTATCATGTCGAATGCTTTTTCCCCCTTAGTTGGTCAGAACAAAAATGGATTTTACTTACTTGTTCAGAAGACATTTTCTTATGAAAATTCTTATGTTGGTCAAACTTTCAAAAAGTGAATCTGTGATTCTGTATGACATTATATCCACACAGCGCGGTGACTGACAGCAGCACTCGCCTCAAAGCACTGTGTTCATCCGCGCTGTTTCATGCCGATTTACAACCCACGTAAAGATAATAATTCCGCGAATCACTGCAGTTACAGATTTCGAACAGACAGATGGCGACAAAGAGGAAAAGTTACGGACTGGAGCTTTAAAGTAAATGAATTAAAAGTGGGGGGGGGGGGGATCACATTATGAAATAAATGTTTTTCTCCAAAACACGTTGGACACAATTATTGGCACCCCTAGAATTTTTTAAGAGTAAAATATCTTTGAAGTATATTCCCATTAATATTTACTCTTTTTTTAGCACACCGGGGTGACTAGGAACATGAAATTGTCTAGCTATGACTTCTTGTTTCGCAGGAGTTTAAATATGAGGAAACACAAAGGCCAAATTCTCTTAATCATCCATCACAATGAGTAAAACCAAAGAATATAGTTCTGATGTGCATCAAAAGATTGTTGAGCATCACAAAATAGAAAGTGGCTGTAAGAAAATAGCTAAAGAGTTGAAAATCCCCATTTTGACCATCAGGGCAATAATTAAGAAGTTCCAATCAACTAAAGATGTTATGAATCTGCCAGGAAGAGGACGTGTGTCTATAATGTCTTAATGCACAGTGAGGAGGAAAGTTTGAGTGGCCAAAGACTCTTCAAGGATCCCAGATGGAGAATTGCAGAGATTAGTTGAGTCTTGGGGGCCAGAAAGCCTAAATAAATATATCAAACAACCCCTATATCACTGCATGTTGTTTGGGAGGGTTTCAAGAAAAATCCTCCTCGCTCCTCCTTATAAATAACGCCGTTACTAACGGCATTACTTTTTCCAGTAACGAGTAATCTAATTGATTACTCTTCTCATCTTAATAACGCCGTTCCCGTTACTGCCAAAAAATGCGGCGCGTTACTATAACTGATGAAGCTGGGTTTTTTTTTTTCATCAGACCAACTAGATCTCTGAGCGAGAGCCAAATACTTTTTTTACTGTTCTTCCTTGGTTAGTGGGTAGAGCACGAGACAAGCGCATAAATGCTGACGACTGAGGTAGAGTAAAATGTCATTGTAAGCCAATCAGAGGTAGAGTTGGGCGGGTGTTCGAAAGCACGCATAGTAGGCATTCGGCACTTTTGACTCAGCTCACTGAAAAGAGCCGGCTCTTTTGGCTCACAAAAGGCTCTTTAAATGACTTTGACTATAATATTTACATTTTTATTACATAATTATTTAATTTCTATAGGCTAAATTTGTAAAAATAGAGTCGGCTCTTCAGATATGCGAGCCAGCTCCCGACGTTCACCTAAAAGAGCCGGCTCTTAGAGTCGCCTCATTCGCGAATCGCGAACGACCCATCAAAAGCTCATTCGCGAACGAGTCGATCCATCATCACTAACGGCTAACGCTCATGAATTGCGAACGACCCATCATAACGCATAGTCGGACAGGACAGGACACACAATGAACAACACAAGCCAGTCAGTCAACGAGAGACAGGTATGGCGACGAGCTTAACAAGCTTAATTTAATTTTGCCCAGTTGTGGCCTGTTGAGGGGCAATAAATATCAAAAGTTCCAAAACATCTATTGTGTTATTTGAATTGATCCACTATATAAACATAATATCTACATGGCATTTGATTGGAGGATAGTCCCACAGCAACATTTTTTTTTTTAGATGTGTGTACAATGTTTCATGTTTCTGTTAATAATGTATTGTATTAAGTGTCCATTTCATTATAATATTCAGATATATCATAAATAATTGAACATGCACATGTATTGTAAGTTCCGTTAAAGAGGGGTAGAGGTGGGGTCACATTTGAGCATTTAAAATGTAATTTTACTTGAAAGTAACGCAATAGTTACTTTCTTAAGTAACTAGTTACTTTTAAAATTTGTAACTGAGTAACTAATTTAGTTACTTTTTGGAAGTAGTAACTAGTAACTGTAACTAATTACTTTTTAAAAGTAACTTGCCCAACACTGCCCATAGCTACGGTTAAATATACTGCTGGATCTTATATGTTGTGGGCCTATTTTTTTGCTGGAGGTCCTGGACATCTTGTTCAGATACATGGTATTATGGATTCTAGCAAATACAAACAGATAAAAAATCCAAACCTGACTGGTCTCTGATCTCTTGTCAGTTGTTCTCCAAACTCATCAGGCATTATAGGAGAAAACTCAGAGCTGTTATCTTGGCAAAAGGAGGTTGCAAAAAGTATTTAATGAGAGGGTGCCAATAATTGTGGCCAATGTGTTTTGGAGAAAAGCATTTATTTCATAATTTGATTTACCCGCCACTTTCAATTCTTTTACTTCAATGAAAGGTTAGATTTTTGCGAATTTTTTGAATGAAAGATCAAAAGGATAACCAATGCAGATTTATTTTTTACTGACATTTTTGATCATATTTACCAGGGGTGTCATTAATTCTGACCACAACTGTAGATTGTAAAATTTGAGGCTAATCATCAGCAGTATTGTAGTTCAAACCTTAGAGCCCCACTGTAGCAAAATGATATATTAAATAATACATTTATTTCTGAATTCCCAGCATTTAGGCCTAGTGATTGACAAATGGCAACATCACAAGAATATCAACTTTCCTAAATAGTAGACAATTTTTTTTTGAATGTTGCAAAAAGGCTACCTTTTATACATGAAGAGTTCAGATGCAAAACCCTCTAAATCCGTCAGACTTATTTTCTTTAAATGAGCATTTTTTATCAGGCTCCTATGTTCACGTCCAGTAGTTTCATTTTAAAGGTACTGATAAGGTTATTAGTCATTGAATAAAATAACTTTTTTTCAAAAATGTCACTTGAGTCAATTCAGTGATTTTTAACAAATTCGATTTTCTTTTGCGTCAAAAACAGCTAAATCCACTTGTGCTTTTTTCGCAAAAACCTAAATCCACCTCTTTGGGACAAGACAGAGTAAATAGCTGAAAAATCAATAAAAATGTAACTAGAAACACTGAAAAAGATTAGAGCACATTCATTTCAAAACTAAACAGTAGACACACCTCTTTAGGGGGGCTGAATGAGATCTGCGATTATTTGCAAATCCCACCCCATTTCTCTGCAGTCACCTTTCTGCCCTGTCTGAATAAAGACAAAAGCCCCCCCGATTCACACAGTACAACCACATTGGCAAAAAGAATTGGCGATTAAAATAGTTTAATAGTTTTAGTTTGTATAATCAAGTAGAACAGAGCAACATTCTTAAACATCAATATCTGTGCATTTTGTATAAGAAGCTTATAAGACTTAAATAATGTAAAGTAATATTATAATGTATATCTCAAGTATAATAAATCAAATTCCTTCAAAGTTACAGCACTGCACCAAGAACTGTTATGAGTGCATGCTACACTTGCGACCAAGCTATTTTCACTGTAAAGTTACCGATTTTCTTTTGCCTTGTAAATTAACGGGAAGAGTTTTGAGGTAGATAAACGACGTTCTCTTCTGCCTTTTGATGTCAGTAGGACAGGCTCCTCCATTTCATCGTACTCCATCTTAAAAATGTAAAAAATCTGAATCCAAAAACAAAACAATCTCCTCAGCCGTCTCAAAAAATCCGTCTCCTCAGCGCACCGCTCTATTGAAACAGCCTGTACTGATTCGCGCGGCTCGCGCCTTCTGATTGGTTCTCGGGATGTAGTGGCTTTTGCTGCCAAAGGGAAGTGGCGTCTAGAGGCTTTTGCCGACAAACTGATATTTCTGAATGGGCTGAGGCTGAGATTTCGAGGATTTGAAGCAAATATATTTGAAGAGTTCAGATGCAAAACCCTCTAAATCCGTCAGACTTATTTTCTTTAAATGAGCATTTTTTATCAGGCTCCTATGTTCATGTCCAGTAGTTTCATTTTAAAGGTACTGATATGGTTATTAGTCATTGAATAAAATAACTTTTTTTCAAAAATGTCACTTGAGTCAATTCAGTGATTTTTAACAAATTAGATTTTCTTTTGCGTCAAAAACAGCTAAATCCACTTGTGCTTTTTTCGCAAAAACCTCTAAATCCACCTCTTTAGGACAAGACATAGTAAATAGCTGAAAAATCAATAAAAATGTAACTAGAAACACTGAAAAAGATTAGAGCACATTCATTTCAAAACTAAACAGTAGACACACCTCTTTACAGGGGGGCTGAATGAGATCTGCGATTATTTGCAAATCCCACCCCATTTCTCTGCAGTCACCTTTCTGCCCTGTCTGAATAAAGACAAAAGCCCCCCCGATTCACACAGTACAACCACATTGGCAAAAAGAATTGGCGATTAAAATAGTTTAATAGTTTTAGTTTGTATAATCAAGTAGAACAGAGCAACATTCTTAAACATCAATATCTGTGCATTTTGTATAAGAAGCTTTTAAGACTTAAATAATGTAAGTAATATTATAATGTGTATATCTCAAGTATAATAAATCAAATTCCTTCAAAGTTACAGCACTGCACCAAGAACTGTTATGAGTGCATGCTACACTTGTGACCAAGCTATTTTTTTACTGTAAAGTTACCGATTTTCTTTTGCCTTGTAAATTAACGGGAAGAGTTTTGAGGTAGATAAACGACGTTCTCTTCTGCCTTTTGATGTCAGTAGGACAGGCTCCTCAATTTCATCGTACTCCATCTTAAAAATGTAAAAAATCTGAATCCAAAAACAAAACTATCTCCTCAGCCGTCTCAAAAAATCCGTCTCCTCAGCGCACCGCTCTATTGAAACAGCCTGTACTGATTCGCGCGGCTCGCGCCTTCTGATTGGTTCTCGGGATGTAGTGGCTTTTGCTGCCAAAGGGAAGTGGCGTCTAGAGGCTTTTGCAGACAAACTGATTTTTCTGAATGGGCTGAGGCTGAGATTTCGAGGATTTGAAGCAAATATATTTGTTGAACGTGTACTGTGTTCAGATAGCTTTCACTCAATGTCATTATCTCATTTTTGACGGAGGTGGCGTTTAGAGGCTTTTGCATCTGAACTCTTCACATATAATTCACACAACACTCCCCATTAAATAATAGATAAATATTCCAAATATATTTTTGATGCTGTTTAAAAAAAAAATGCTGTTACCTTATATTTCTTACCTTACTAAGTATTATTGCAACATTTTCCAATATGTGACACCAAAAAAAAAGCAGGAAAAAGGGAAATATATTATAATATACCAAGGAAAGAGGATTAAAGATGAAAAAGCGATATCTTAAGGTCTGTCTGTTGCTAAATATAACTAAATATGTTTTAATTCATCAACATTTTCTAAGCATTAGTGTTGATTTCTCATTGGTTGCGTTTATGTAAAATATGCACATCTTTAATGCTTGTTACATCTTAAATTGTTCTTATTCGCATTACATCCTTGACAAAAATGACATGATTACCTCTTTTTTCCTTTTTTGCCCTTCCTTTTCTCCAGTTGGTGATAAAGTCCCAGCAGATATCCGACTGACCTCCATACGCTCTACTACTCTGAGAGTGGACCAGTCCATCCTGACAGGGGAGTCTGTATCCGTAATAAAACACACAGACCCAGTGCCTGACCCCCGTGCCGTCAACCAGGATAAGAAAAACATGCTCTTTTCTGTAAGATTTTCTGGAGTGATAATGTTTGTCATCTGTCAACCTGTGGTTGTTCTTTATGAATTTCAGGTTTTGTTTTTGTCACTTGACATGATTAGGCATTAGATAAAACGCCGCAAGATGTGAAAGTGTATTGTTGTTTGTGTAGTGGATTATGTCCGGCAGTGGCGAGCCTGTGTGTTGAATAAAACATCACTCGTATATTGTTTGCTCCCACATGGCTATGGACTGAGTCATCACATCACACAGGCTTTGAGCTCTTAGATGGATAATGACCAGAGAGTACCAGCCTCAAAGACTCCACCCCCACACACGCACACACACACGCTAAAGCCTCCATTACTTTTTCTCCTGCTGAGAAAGCAAAGTCTAATGCAGGGGTTCTCAACTCTGGCCCTCGAGGCCACTTTCCTGCAGAGTTAAGTCTTCAGGATTACTAGAAACCTACAGACAGGTGAGTTTGATAAAGGTTGGAGCTAGACACTGCAGGAAACTGACCTCAAGGGCCAGAGTTGAGAACCCCTGGTCTAATGGATGTCTGGCCATGTAAGGGCAGGAATATAAACCGTGACCTGGAGCCTCTATCAAGTAAAGCAATAAATGAAATGGCTTTAAATATCACAAAATGACCTTTTTGCCTCAGCTGCCATTGGTGGGTGTGTTAAAAAAGTACCAGCCATACATTTTTCTTGCCCACTATGAAACTTTGTTTTGTTTATTTGAAATATACAGATTTGTTCCTACTACAACGAACAATAATTAGTTTTGCCATTGTATCATTCATATATGGCATGAAAAACGCCATCTGCTACACAAATTGCCTGCAATATGTTGCCAATATATTGCCAGTTATGACATTATATTTCCAACTGAAGTAAAAGTTGAGGTAAAAAGAGAATTCTCTTTAGTAGACCATTTGTACTGGTCTGATTTACATTAAACTATCATCTATAAATTGCAATTGAAATCATGTATAATGTCGCGATTCCTTTCTAGCTGGCCAATAACTGTTTTATTCATTTGCCAAAGGCAATTTGGCACTTGAGTGTTTATTTTGGGACCTGGTTAAAATACTAAGTTTGTTATAACTATTGTAGGTGATCTTATATTCCATACTGGAAATAATGTAAATATAATCATTGTGTTTATGTAGGGGACGAATATTGCGGCAGGGCGAGCGATTGGTGTGGTGGTGGCGACAGGTGTACACACAGAGATTGGGAAGATCAGAGATGAGATGGCAGCCACCGATCCAGAGAGAACCCCTCTGCAGCAGAAACTAGACCAGTTTGGAGAGCAACTCTCTAAGGTAGGGCACTCTTTCTTTTTTTCTTTTTTTCTCTCTTTTTTATTTGAACTTCAATCCATTTGTTTGGTGAGTAACTATATGCCTTGTCTGTTTTCTGTGCACATTATGGACATTTCTTGTGTGCATACATATACGTACAATACCCTAGTACATTTGCAAAATGTGCAGTATACAGCTGAGCAATGTGCTTGACATGATTCTCCATTTCGAATCTGATAGGATTTTAAACGTATTTTTTCTTGATTTATTATTGAATTTAACTGCCAAGTTACATCTTAACACAACATGTGATTACAAGTACAAAATGATTATATTTATTTTTGAAATATGCCACATAGTAACGTCAATAATTTAGCATACATTTATTCTTGCATGTTGCGTATGACTTTTTAAAAATAGTTTGGCAGTATTTCAAGTATTTGACATGGATTTTTTATTTTTATTTTAATGTTACTTGAGAATCCCCTATAATGTTAATAGTTTTTTGCAAAAAAACAACAAAAAAAATATATATATATATGGGGATTTTCAACCTTCATTCTGACCCTCTGTCTGAAATGATCCGTTTTTAAGGGGCGGCAGTAAACATCCACTGTTATGATTGGTCATTGCATAGGAAACCGTAAAAATACCAACTCGTTATTGCATTGGATTTACAGACGCATTTATAGCATTATGAAAATGTTTACTTGCGGTTTGCCATGTTGCTGCTGTCAGATCCCAAAAAGCTGACTGCTTCATCTGTCAGCAAAATTTTCTTTGCGAACTCTCCATAGCACTGTGCCCCGTTTACAAAACAATCTGCAGTCAAATGCTCCGAACAAACATATAATCCTCCGACGTGATCCATGATACCATTAAAAATAAACCATCCTCTTGTTCTTGATGCTGGCAATTTTCTGAAGTCTCTAGAGTTATGAGCAAATGAGCTGTTTAAACAGGACGCATCAAAGCGAACGTTCCTTTACGCTTCCATTTACTCTTCCATTTGTCCTGTTGTCGGCAGACTCAAGCACGTGGAGTATGACAAAAAGTGAGCAAGCATCTGTATACTGTATCTAGTGTCAGTGATTATAATGGTTTCTATTTGCTTTTCACGCGACGCTCACATTGTAAAACTGTTTGTCGATGTCTTGCTCTGGAGACAGTCATACGAAAATGTATTTGCCCGTGTGACGTCACAATATCCAAACGAGCTGTTTTTGAAACTTGATTAAATAAATGCTTTGTTTACAATGAGGAGGACGTTTTAAACTATGAAATGTTTCGATGGTACAAAGACCTCAAAAGATTAAGGTAAATTTGATTTCTCATCATGTCATCATGACCCCTTTAATATATACTGTGCAGCATGTAGAAATACCTTGTTCCTTTCCACTGTCTTTCTACTGAGCTATAAATGCAAACCCTTCCAACCGATTAAAAATACCACATTAAAAAATATTTCCTGTTATCCTTTAATTTAAAGTTTAAAATTTGTCTTTTGCCATTTTTATACCTCATTATTGTACCTTATTATTGTACTATTTCAGTCCTTTTTGCACATTTTTACTATTCATTAAATTCATTAAATTCACCTTTTCCATTTATACACAATGTAATTTGCACTGTCATTGTCATCTGCCGTTTATACCACATATCACTGTACATTGCACCCTCTCTATTTTTATTCCTAGTAATTTGCATTGAACTGATCTCTTGCTATCTATACCTCACACCATTTGAACTTACACCATTATTTGAATAATATATAACTGCACTTTACTGGCTGTGTACTTGTACTTTGCCCAATGTCAATCAGAATTAGTGTAATCTAATCTAATGTCTAGTATTCCACTACAAAAATCCTCTGTGATAAATAAATGAACATTAAAATACATTTACAGGTGAATTAAAGCAGGTTAATTTGTGTTTTTTACAGCAGCATTTCATTGACAGACCCTCTCATCCGCTACGTAACAGTCAGCATTCACTCTCTAACAGAACTTGTCAGCATTATCAAGTTTCATTATCATTCTTTCTCTCTGTCTCTCTCTGTCTGAAGGTGATCACAGTGATCTGTGTGGCGGTGTGGGGCATTAACATCGGTCACTTCAGTGACCCAGTGCATGGAGGCAGCTGGCTGCGTGGAGCTGTGTACTACTTTAAGATCGCCGTGGCTCTGGCTGTAGCCGCCATCCCTGAGGGTCTGCAAATCTTAACCTTTTTCTTTCTCTCTACTGTAGCCAAATTATTTAAATCTTCTTTGCTCAGGAACGCTTGTCATCAAGCTATATGTTGAGGTCCAGAAGTCTGAGAGCACATTGAAAATCTGGGATTCAAAATTTAAACATAGAAATGAACAATTTTTTAGGATAAAAAAAAAAAAATCAATTTAAAGTTGTCAAAATTAATAAAAACAAATCAGCATTTTTTGTTGGTTATTAAAGAGGACCTATTATGCTTTTTTACACAGTCTTGATTTTGTTTTTGGGGTCTACTAGAATAGGTTTTCATGCTTGAATGTTCAAAAAGCACCTTATTTTTCACATATTTGCAGCACCTCTCTTCCCAATCTGTCAGTAATGCCCTGGGCTAAGTTGATCATAAAGACCATTGATGTCAATGGTTCTTAGGCTTACTATGCTTTTGAAAAACAGACCCCTGTTTAGTTCCTGTCTTTGTGAAGCCCTTCCTTCCAAAGATCTTCAACTGTGCTCTGATTGGTCGGCTGGACCAGTGTGTTGTTATTGGTCAACTGTTTTGAGCATGTTTTGGAAATGTCACGCCCTTTACATTAAAGCTGCAGTAGGGAGTTTTGAGAAAACGTTGACTTAGCCTAAAAATTTGAACAAGCACAACTTACAGGTCCCACCCCCTTGCTCTCTGCTGCGCTACAGCCCTCCCTCCACAGCTCGTCCTCCACAGCGGAGCCTGTCGTGAACGCGCAGGCTAGTAAACAGGGCCACCGATAACAGCGGATAAAAAGTTATATGGCACATTCACTAATAGGCACTAAACGTCAATAATATGCTTTACATTGACTATGGCCTGCCCATACTTTGACTACAAACTTGGTCCTCAAATCATTATGTATTTTGCAATAGCCTACATGTAACTATATAACGTTGCACTCTTTCTATAAGTTATAAATAGCTAGTAAGATAACGTTAATATAACGGTAACTAACGTTACAGTATGTAAGTAATTATTCAAGCGATATATAATGCTAGATACGGTGTGCTAGTACATTATTTCAGCAACATGACAAGCCAGTGAATTAGCAGGTTTCAATTGTTGCTTAGCAGAGTGCGTGACATTTTATCTACATGTTATGCGGCTAGAGTTTTGACACCGAGTCAATGGGCTCTGTGTAATTCTTTCTTTTTTGCTTGTTTATCGTCATCAGTCTTTTTCCTTTTACCTCTTTGTTTTATGAGCAGGTGTCACTCGAGAATTGGCAGTTTAGGTTGTTTCTCCGTCATAATCACAGCTGCAGCACGCCGGCAATCTTGAGTTTGAACGACGGCTCGCGCTGTGCAAGAGAGGGGTGTGATCAGCGCGTACATGAGCGTGATTAACAGTGCTAAGACATTCCTCCTGGCTCTGATTGGTTGTTTCTGACCGGGAGCGTGTAGTTCTTGCAAATGGCAATAGGACCACTGGGAGGAGCCAGAGGAGCTTGATTTTTACACAGATTATCTGTCTCATATTCTACTGTCAGGACATAACTGTTAGCAAATACATTTTTTCAAAAGTTACCTACAGCAGCTTTAACCGCAAATTTCAACACACTACTAATACAACTCAACCCGGCCTAGCCCCCTACTTTTTTGTGTATACCTAGGGTGGGAATTTATTTAATTGAGGAACATTGTGATGTGTACGTTCTCGAAGAAGAAAATCAAGACTACAATCGAGGCGTTTCACAGAGTGCAGAATTATGGAGCCAGATCAGCCTCAAAAATTATACATGTACAAAATAAAATTCATAAATGCGCAGCACAATTCACATTTACAAAATCTGATTCGTAAATTCAAAACACAATTCATAAATACACAAGTAAAAGCATAAATATTTCCCCAAATGCTCACACAAATCCATCTTACCTAAATGAATTAAAAAAGTTTACACAAATATGTATATATCAAGCTCCTGAATTAATTTACATCACACATTTATGAATGATGTTACATGTAGCCTATTAATGGATTGTTGAATCTCCATTTGCAAATCATCACACGTGCGTGGACTGCTTTGAATTTGTGTGTGTTTTTGAGACCTTCCTGACAGGTTAAGATTCATAAATATCTTTTTTTGGAGGATGTTCTGTTTAGCCAATTTATGAATCTTAACCTGTCAGGAAGGTCTCAAAAATACCACACACAAATTCAAAGCAGTCCAAATGTGTGGTGATTTGTAAATGCAGATTCAACGATCCATAAATACATGTAACATCATTCATAAATGTGTGATGAAAATGAATTCAAGAACTTTGTGTAAACCTTTTAAATTTATTTAGGTAAGATGCTTTTGTGTGTGCATTTGGGGAAATATTTATGCTTTTACTTGTGTATTTATGAATTGTGTTTTGAATTTACGTATCGGATTTTGTAATTGTGAATTGTGCTGCGCATTTATGAATTTTGTTTTGTAAATGTATTATTTTTGAGGCTGATCTGGCTCCATACAGAATCAGTGCTTATTCATATAGAGAATAACTCCCTTTAAATACAGTATTTTTTGTCATTAAGCTTTTTAATTTTGAACTTATATTAACCACAAACAGGCACAACATATTCCAAAATGAACCGTAATAATAAAAATAAATAATAATGACAATGAAATGAAACTAAACAACCAAAATGACAGCATTGTAACGTGTGTGCTTTGTTTTGTCGTCTTCTTGTCCTTTGACCTAGTTTCTAGTTTGTTCCTTTGTTAGCATTAACAGTCCACCTGTTTTAATTATCTCATTAGTCCCTCGCTGCACAAGTGCTGAAAAGTGAAGCCAAAGCGTCTCAATAGCCCCCCGGTGGCTGGTCCCAGTATAGGTCATAAAGCCGCCTCCCCATGAAGTCTAATGGACGAGATGGGAACTAAACAATCAAATTACACTTCAAATACATTTTTTTTCAAAGATGTTTTCTGTCATTTTAGGTAGTTTTTATCTCGCGGATTTAAGTTTAAGTGTTTTTTAATCTTAGTTCGTTATTTAATACTATAAAAAACGGGAATGTGACGTCATGATTGACAGCTGTGATTGACAGCTTCTCTAAACAAAGTAGTCACCAAGGCACCAACGGACTTTTTTATTTTATTTTCGGGAGGAGATTGGAGCTTCAACTTTAGTTTCTACATGTTTATAACTGTTTATTTCACACTGACACAATGAGTTGCTCTGCAGTAAACTTTGTAGTAACCGTTTCTGCGGGAGTGAGGGCGGGACCTTTATATCGCGGCTTTACTTCACACTCACTACTACTGCGCAGAATCAGGTCCCAAATCTGCGCAAGATGTCAGCGCCATATTAGGACTTTGGCAGCTTCAGTTTTCACCAATGGAAGAGAGTGAAGGGGCTTCGTCCATCTTTTTTTACAGTCCAGTTTTTACTTTATGTTTAGTACACATAGTCCTTGGAGTTCCTTTGTCCGTTATCATCAATGTAAATGGTGTTTTCTCCTGAGTATATCCTGGTGTTTTCTCCTGAGTATATCCTGTGAGTTTGTTTATTAAAAGTAATCCTACATGTTCCTTGTCTTCATGAGCTTTACCACGTTACGTGACAAGCATAACAGACCATCTACTTGTTTTCCAAATAATCCAGAAAACTACCCCATCTCTGATTTAAGGCATAGGTGAACTCTAGAAGTTTTGCCAGCATAAAAAATACAGCATTTAAATCTTAATAAAACTGATTGTTTCATGAAAAATTAAGAGAAGATTTATAGAAATATTGTTTAATATCTCTATGTATAATCGTAAATTTGACCCCCTCTATGATCCACTCCTCTCTCATTTCTCGTAACTTACTCGCTGATGTCTTTTGTTCTTTCTCAAAGGTCTTCCTGCCGTCATCACCACGTGCCTGGCACTTGGCACGCGCCGCATGGCCCGCAAAAATGCTATAGTCCGTTCCCTCCCATCTGTAGAGACACTTGGCTGCACCTCTGTGATCTGCTCTGACAAAACGGGCACTCTTACCACCAACCAGATGTCTGTCTGCAGGGTGAGAGAGACTTGCATCCACTGTGATTCTAACAAATGCATTGTGGGATTTTTTTTTAATGTTAGCTAGGAGATTATTACCATGGAATGATGTTTTAAAATCACTGATCAAACTTACTAATCGTGTGTGTGTGTGTGTCTCGTGTGTGTGTGTGTGTGTGCATGCATGGCTGTGCATGTGTGTTTGTCTTTGTGCAGATGTCTATTGTGGACATGGTCGCAGGTGAGAGGTGTTTACTGAACGAGTTTACAATAACTGGATCTACTTACGCCCCTGAAGGAGAAGTGTGAGTTTATTTCACATCTAACTACACTCACGTACACACACACACTTCTCACAGGAATCTCTTCTGAACTAACCTGTGGTTTGCTTATGATGTCTTTCACAAGACTCGCATCTCTTTCTCTCACTTTACCCATTATTTTCTTTTATGTTCTCCTTAATTCCTGCATTCCTTCTACCCTCTTCTCTCTGTTTCAGGTATAAGGACGGTGTACCGATACGCTGTAGTCAGTATGAAGGGCTCGTGGAAATGGCCTCTATCTGTGCCCTGTGTAACGACTCTTCGCTGGATTACAATGAGGTACATATGCACATGTACGTACTCTTTCTATGTTATCATGCAGCTGTAGAGACTTCATTTTCTCTGCATTTCCTCTATCTCTCTGAAAAACACAGAGTAAAGGGGTGTTTGAGAAAGTGGGAGAAGCAACTGAGACGGCACTCTGTTGTCTGGTGGAGAAGATGAACGTGTTCGACACAGACCTGAAGGGCCTCACACCTGCTGAAAGAGCCACTGCCTGCTGTTCAGTGAGTGCTCATATAGTAATATGTTGGCCCGGAGAGAATCTGCAGTCAGTAACAGCAATATGATATGATATTGTACATTACATGTAAAACTATTTTAAACAGCATTTTTCTTATTCTATAATTATGTATATCATTTAATATTATTTATCAAAGTATTATATATGTAAATGTGTGTGTGTGTATGTATATATATATATATATATATATATATATATATATATATATATATATACAGGGTGCGATTTGCCGGGGGGGATGCGTGGGATTTCCCCCTTTCTGGTCAAAGTATCCCTGCCTCTGCTTAATTATTTTTATCCCCGGTGGGGATAAATTTATCCCCCCCTCAAAGTGATCAGTGCTACTACAATAGTGGCGAGACGGATCACAAAACTTATCACGGGTCCGTGGTTTGATTAAAGTCAATTTTATTTTAAAAATGCGCTCCTTCGGCTGGCTCTGGTGGTATAGCGGCCGCAGCCTCTCTGTAATCACCTCTCTGCAGACTTGCTCAATATCCCGCCCACGGCGCTATCTGATTGGTTACTCCTTACGAGTAATAGCCTATCAACACTTGCGAGAATGGGCAGTAGCTGTGTGTCGGAGGCGTTTAGCGCGGCGCGGTAGACGCGAACTGACACAGATAATACATCTGTCTTTTCTATCATTTCACTGTAGCTCAGCATCGCGATGTAACGTTAACGTTGTTACTTTAACAGCTGTACAACTTTTCTACTGTGATGGTTTAACTTTGCAATCAATCCATGGTTCAGCAGACTGATAGAAGTAGCCTAGCCTAAACTAAGTAAAGCGCTGTAATGTGAACTGTCAGTGCGATAGAACAATAAAATCCGAAATGGACCACCCACTGGAAAGCTGCAGATTTTCCCACAGGAAAGCAGAAAAAGACTGCTTTCCTAGTATGATGAGGCCTACACTATAGTCTATTTATGTTTAAGTTGACACTACGTTGTGCCATTTAATTTTGCCATTCATAAATAAGTCTTTTGACATGTCAAGCCGAGTGGCACTATCCATGGTACTGGGAGGGGGATTTAATTCTTAGGCTACGTGTTTTTCGTTGTGCGTGATCACAGTTCATATATAAGCTATTAGAGTAAAACATATTGCGTTAGGCTACTTCATGAGTTAATAAGAAAAAAGATTTTACAATTCCTGCAAATGCAGTGATGAAGTTCATGTTCTCATGATTTATTTTTATGAATAAAACTTTTTTAAAACATCCCCCCCTCTGTTTTTTTTCACAAATCGCACCCTGTATATATATATATATTGTATATTTGTATATATACACGTGTATGTGTGTGTGTGTATATACAGTATATATATATTAGGGCTGTCAAAATAACGCGTTCATTTCGATTAATTTGTCTGAGAAGAAATAACGCGTTAAAAAAAATAACGCAGATTAATCCATTGATCCGTTTTGACCTTTGCGGAGCCGTTCTAGCCGTAGCTACCATTCGTGTAAAAAGAATGAGGGAGACAAGAACGCGCTGCTTGGATCATTGTTTGGAACATTTACTTATAACAAACGGAGTTCGTCAACTCTAAAGTACCACATCAATGCAAAGCATCCAGGAGTGTGTGCGTGAGTCGGTGAGTGTGTCTGAGAGAAAGCGCGCTTGTGTGTGTGTGTGTGTGTGTGTTGTAACTTTTCACGGGCTCTCACGTCACACAACCATTTTCTCACGCACAGAAATATCGCGCACCAAAGAGAGGACACAGAAACAGACAAGACAGAGCACGTTACCTATGATATTTAAAAAATCTCAGCTCTAAGATTCTGTCAATTTTATTACGAAAATCAAACAATAAATACCGTTTTGGCGCTTGTAAATGTGACATGAGTCATGACAGATCCCATAGCGGCACGTGAACCGATCATCTCTAGCTAATAGTAAATAAACACGAATGACCAATGTTGAAAGATAAAGTAGGGCAGCCTAAAACTTACCGAAATGTATATTCCTCGACCAATCAGTGTTTTTCAACCGCGAAAAGAGGTCAATAAAACAGCTGGAGAACAATTATGTCACATAACATTTAGCCTAAGTTACCTAAGGAAAGCCATTTCATGACCATATAGCACGTTAGTTGGCTATAAAAAAAGAGCTATAGAGAGTATTTTTCTAAATTTATGTAGCCTACTACTATATTACATATGTATTATATTTTTACTTATATCAAAGTTGTTATTTGTAATAAACACGCATTATATTTAATTTGAGCTATTTTTAACCTTAAATACTTCCAGCTGATATGGCTCTCTGTATTTTTACAGCATTGGGTGAGATTTTTTTTTTCTTGAGAAAAATGAATGCCTATCTTGTGTACCTATTTATCCAAATGAGTCAATATTGCATCAAATCACCAGAATTAAATTATATTGAAATCGTGAAATTTGTGTCAAGCAATAATAATAAAAACGTAGCTTACCAGAAATTGTACCATGTAAACATTGTAAGATTGTGTATGCGATTAATTTAGATTAATTAATTACAGAGTATGTAATTAATTAGATTAAAAATTTTAATCGATTGACAGCCCTAATATATATATATATACAGGGCTTGACATTAACACCCGCCAACCCGCCAAATGCGGGTGCATTTCACCCGTGGCGGGTAACACAGTCACTCTCACTAGCCACTTTGGCGTGTTGAAGATTTGTAGTCTTGTCAAAGGACATCTGACATAACAAACGAATTGCAATTTGACACTATGCCACTACCACTCCCATGAGTACCACCTGCACATAGTTTAGTGTTTGCTCATTGGTCCATTCGTGAATCCTCTTGAACGACAACACTGCAAACAAGAAGACACGCGGAGATTAAACTCGCGGACTGTGCGACGAACTGGGCTGTTTTAGTCTGCCCTTAATTATCAACTTAATGTGATGATATAGCGATCTTTTTTTAATAGCAGGAGAATCCAGACCACCGGCGTGTCTCACGCTCTCCTGCAGTGCCGCTGCGCGAGGGTGCGCGCGCCAAACGAACGATCATCACACGCGACTGGTCGCATACACACACACATCAACACAGCGTTCAGTCAGTTCGTGAGTGTGCATGGCCGGTATTAAAGCAAAAATCATCTTCATGATTAAGGGCCACGGTGTAGGCCTAACTACTAGCAGGGCTGCCCTTATGTCACGTCATATCACAACTATCTTTCCAGAGTTAATTCTATGTTTTAATAAAATTAATCATGCCATGAAAGAAAGCAGGAGATGCGCTTGTGGGAATAATCTGGAAAATAAAGACCTGTAGGCCTATACTTGTTTCAGGTGGACATATCTCCAGTTACTCAGAGCTTCATGATGATAATTATTAAGTCAGAGCTCTGAGGAAAAGCTGATGCAAAACAAACAATCCAAAGTCCTATATAGTCCTATATAGCCTATATAAAGTTGTAATCCTGGTGCCTTAATTGTGGATTTTTTCTTTAAAATTATTATTTATTCTTTGCTCGTTGTTTCTAATGCAGATAATTGTTCTACTCTGTATTGCAGTATTTACTGCTGTAAAACAAAAAACAAACAAACAATGCAGCACTTTTATTATATACAATAAGAAGCTATTTTATGTGTGTATCTTAGACAACATGTTATCAAAAAAGGAGCTTAACAACCTTATCAGAGCTAATGATAATATTAGTTCATTTTAGCACGTTTTCAGCCCCATTGTCAATTTTAATCATATAAAACGTACAACAACAAAACTGGCTAGTAAAAATGCTGCGTGGCTAGTCATTTTGGAAAACCACTAGCCACATTGGCTAGTGAGCAAAAAAGTTAATGTCAAGCGCTGTATATATATATATATATATATATATATATATATATTATATATATACTGTATACGCATACACAAATTCATTAGCCTGGTTAAAACCAGACCATTCTCAGTTGTAACTGAGTTATGGTCTGGCAAAGCGTCATAGACAAATCATTTCCAGAGGGGCGTCACCAACGGACGTCGCGGATAGACCTAAAACCAATCAGAGTGATGAAGGAGATGACGTATGCAGAGCGGCGGAGAAACATCTCTGAGTGTTGCTCTTTGCTCGGTTTTTAACAAAAAGGAAACGTTCAAATCGCTTAAAACAGACGCGATAGCTGATTCGAACGAGTGATGTTCGACAGCGGCATCCATCTTTGCAATGTAGGCTACAAAATCTGCTTCAAAATCCCAGCGCTGTCGTCATCGTGTAAAGCCCGCCCCAACGTTTCTGATTGGTGCCTCGATTTCGGCGGATTGGAAATGTGCTTGAATGAGCTCTTTGCCAGACTAACTATCAGAGCAAATCTAAATTTGCCGGAAGTTGTCTGGGTTTTCCCAGGCTACAAATTCATACATACATGGCTTAAAATGGCTTATTTGGTGGCTTTTGGCTTGTAGGATGTTATTGTTATCTACTGCTTGTGAAAATTACTGTCACTAAAGGTAGCGAGTCTATTTCTCTCTCTCTCTCTCTTAGGTCATAAAGCAGTTAATGAGGAAAGAGCTGACTCTGGAGTTTTCTCGAGACAGGAAGTCCATGTCTGTTTTCTGCTCTCCAAACAAACTCACTCGCTCTGCTTCAGGTGCCAAGATGTTTGTCAAGGTCTGGCTTTCATCCTTCCTTAAAGCTTTTTCTTTTTCCATTTTTGTTGGGAGAGTCACTGAAATGTTTTGTTCAATATACAGTACAACCATAATAATCTTATAACAAAATAGACTAATAAAAAAAAAGTTATTTTAAAAAAGAACAGATGTTTAAAAAAAGATGATGTGACAAGTTGGTATTTAACAGCCAACATTTAAAATGTCTTTGTGTCTTTTAAAATGACACGTTGGCACAAAATTAGGGATGGGAATCTTTAGGAATGTAAAGATTGTAATTTATATATTTATAAATCCCAAATAAAAGTTTGTGTTTACATAATATATGTGTGTGTACTGTGCATAATTATTTTGTATTAACACAAACATATGTACACACACATATATTATGTAAACACAAACTTTTATTTTGGATGCGATTAATCGTTGCCCAGCACTAATATATATATCAATGATATATAATCAATTATTTACCTCTCTATATATAATTATTATTATAAATGTTGAAAACAGTTGTGCCATTTAATATTTTTGTGGAACCCATGATATATGTTTTTTCAGGATTCTTTGTTGAAAAGAACATATTCCCTTCCCGTATTCAGTTCTGAATATTAACTGCCCCTCGATTCTTGAAGTTTATCCCCACTCTCCAAGCATCTACAAATTTACATGCATTTTATCTCTTGGTCCTGACCTCACAGGGGGCACCAGAGAGTGTACTGGAGCGTTGCCGCTGGATACGGGTTGGAGGTGGTGCACGGGTGCCACTGACCTCTGACCTCAGAGAGCAGCTCTTAAGCACAGTAAGAGAGTGGGGCTCGGGACGTGATACACTACGCTGCCTCGCCATGGCAACCAGGGATTCACCCCCTGACCCTCGAACCCTGAACTTGGAGAACTCTGCTGGCTTCATAGACTATGAGGTGAGCAAAGTTTGTGGAGAACTGATTTAAAATCATGGGAATAAGTTTGTGAATTCCTAAATGAGGGCCTATTATGCAAAATTCCTGTGTGTACACAGCTACCCTATTGTGGAAAAAATCCATTCACTCCATTTGTTAGTGTCCCCATAAGTGTCTCAAAATGAGCCGTTCAGGAATGTACCAGTTTAACAGATTTAGTGCTACACTTATTGTCTCTTATTTGTTCCCCTCTAAATAATGGGTTTTTTTTTTTTTCACTAAATGTTCAGGTTTTATACAATTATTGTGCACTCGTGATTTTTCTACAATTATTGTGCACTCGTGATTTTTCTAGAGTAACTTTTACTGCTGAATTATCTACTTATCTAGTTTATAATAGCATTTTTGTCAGATTATGATCATATATTTTTCTGATATGTTGTTTTTCTTTATAATGAAGTTGTCTGTATTTAGTAGATTGTGTTTAACACACAAAAGAGTCATTATCAGTTCAACACACAGAGTTATAGAAATTCTACTTGATTTAAAAAATAAACTGTGCTGATATCGGATCTGTGATAAACTGTGCTAATACTCCGATTTTTTGGTATCGGATCTGTTCTGAAAAAATGCTATCAGTGCATCCCTATAGAAAACCATATATCAGAAGTGTAGACTGATAAACGCATGTAGATAATAAAACTCCATGATGATGAAGAACTGCCATGTCACGTGAGCATGACCGCGATAGAGATGATAATCAAAACCAAACAGATGTTTTAGTTTTTGGCAGAGTATCCGATGCACGAGCTGTCAAACGGGGTGGGGAGCAGCAACTCATTTGCATTTAAAGATACATGGATGAAAACAGAATGTTTTTCCTTCCATTGAAAAATATGCATTTACAACATGGTATAATAAATTATCTGTGGGGTATTTTGAGCTGAAGCTTTACAGACACATTCTGGGGACACTTGAGACTTATTTTACATCTTGTAAAAAGGGGTATAATAGGTTCCCTTTAAATAAAAGCTTTTAAAATGCAGATTTTGCTGCTATAACTAACACTTTTCTTTGTGCATCTCTCAGTCGGACTTGACATTCGTGGGGTGTGTGGGAATGTTAGATCCACCAAGGAAGGAAGTGCTGAGTGCAGTGCGTATGTGCAGACAGGCTGGCATACGGGTCATTATGATCACAGGTGGGTTAAACACATATGCTGAGGTGATTTTAAAGGGATAGTTCACCCAAAAATGAAAATTCTGTCATTATTTACTCGCCCTCATGTTGTTTCAAACTTTTTCCAACTTTGATTAATCTTCCGAAACACAAATTAAGGTATTTTTATTAGAAACCTAAAGGATTTCTGTCCCTCCATTGAAGGTCCAGGTAACCAAAACTCCAAGAAGATCCAAAAAGGTCATAAAAGGCGTTGTAAAATGAATCCATATGAATCAAGCAATTTAATCCAAGTCTTGTGAAGAGATACGATCACTTTATATGATGAACAGATATAAATTAGGCTTTTATTCAAACACATACACCAATGGAGCACATCACATGATCACATCACATGTCACATCATGCGTGCATCTCGCGCTAGAACCAACCTCATTGGTTCTCATACATGAAGCACGCATGTTTGAGCTGTTTATTGTATGTGCTAGTGTTGTCAAAATATTCGGTACTTCGGTACCAAGTCGGTACTAACAAATTTTAAACGTGACGGTACCAAGTACCGGTGGTACCGAGTACCCGGTCAAACCCGGTTCTGGATGCGCATGCAGTTGACACGCGGTTTCATTTAACGTTACCTCACACACACACACACACACACTGAAGCACGAGTGATGCTCGCGCTGTTTTCAGTCTCTGCTGCCTCACGATATGGCGACATGATTCATGATCACCATATCAATTCATGACCGAGAGTCACTTCATGAGCATTTTACCGTTTCATTTGAGAAAAACTATGGTCATATCATACACGCACAGAAACTCAAAGGTCTTCACGGCAACCCGTCAAAATAAAAGTTTGGTTTAACATAAAGAAATTGACAGAAATAATTATATTAGGCTACTGTACAATAGATTTAACTACGTCTCCATTAATTAAAAATACTACTACTAATAATAATAATGTGTGCATAGAAAGTTGCTTATTTTTCACTTGATTTTTTTATAAGCAATATTTCTCAATATCATCAATATTTTCGTTTAAACAGCATGTAGCCTTCAATGCTTTCATAAATGTACCGTCATAAATAATAAAGTCATTGAATTGAATTGAATTTCTTTTTTTTCAAATAATTAAATAAATTGGAAAAATGGTTCAAACTGATTTTGCTGTGGTACCAAAATTGGTACCGATAACCGTAAAATTTTAATGGTATCGGTACCGACTACTGGAATTTTGGTACCGTGACATCCCTAGTATGTGCTCTATATATATGCGTCAATCATTATTTAGATGTAAATAAAAGCCTAAATTAAATCTGTTTTAATTAAGATCTAAATTATCTGCTATCTAAAGTGATAAGTGTCTCTTCAAAGGACTTGGATTAAGCTGCTTGATTCATATGTAATCGTTTCATATGAATGTCTCAAAGCGCAAGCTCAGTGACAAATATAAGGCCAAATACAAGACTGTCTATTATCTAACTGTACCCAGCCCCAGTAAGAATGAACAAATATGCATATAAAGAAAGTCAATTTGAGGTCTTCTTCCTGTGTTGATTTGTGTAGGCGACAATAAGGCCACTGCCCTGTCTATTTGTCGTCGAGTGGGCATCATCACTGAGCAGGAGGAAGAGGAGGCTGAAAGTGGTCCGTATGGCAGCGGCCTCACAGGACGTGAGTTTGATGAGCTGCCTACCCACCTGCAGCGAGAGGCCTGCCGCACTGCCCGCTGTTTCGCCCGCGTCGAGCCAACGCACAAGAGCCGCATTGTAGAATATTTGCAAAGCCTAAGCGATATCACAGCTATGGTACGTTTTTCTAGCTACCTACGTTTGTTTCAGTGCAAAAGTGCAAAAAACTCAAATGAATGAACCCTCACACTTGATTTTTCTGACCAGACTGGTGATGGTGTAAATGATGCCCCTGCTTTGAAGAAGGCTGAGATTGGCATTGCTATGGGCTCAGGCACGGCCGTGGCTAAATCTGCTTCAGAGATGATCTTGGCCGACGATAACTTTTCAACCATTGTGGCCGCAGTGGAGGAGGGTCGAGCCATTTACAACAACATGAAGCAGTTCATCCGTTACCTTATTTCTTCTAACATTGGAGAGGTAGTCTGGTAAGTACAGACACAAATACAGACTCCTATATTACTCTTAATGCCCTGATATACTCACAGCTGAGTTCTTTTTCCTTCTTCGCTTAGTGGTAAAAAGAAGTTTGAAATGCCTTTCCAACGTTATGATGTTAGCAAACATCCTGGGGCCGCCCATGCTCCTGAGAGTGACGTTTAGAGGAAATATGTAAATATGTGCTGGGTGCTTTCCTCTCAATAACAAAATAAAACAGCAGTAAAGAAAGCATTTGATCATAGTGATGTGGATATGTTTGCGCAAGCTCTATAATTCGGCACTTCAATCAAGTCACATTGATTTTTTATAGCACTCTATACAACAACATGCTTTAAAGCAAGCAGCTATACAGTATTAAACATGAAAAAAACAGTGTCAATGTCTCTTTCAATTTGAATTACAACTTCATTTTCCACTATAAAGTGGAGTTTTTACTCGTGGACGTCTGACCTCGAAGGACTGAATAAGATAAATAAACCGGAGAAGATTTAAACATCAAAGAAGGCAGAGCTTTAGAGCCACACCTACCTATTACATAATCGCCAAGGACCAATGGTGGTTTGAAGGAGTTTTATCACCCGGAGTGAATTATTCCGGAAAGTTTGCTTTTGCAAGCTGTTTCAAAATCCTGAAATGAACTCCAAACGAACTTCACATGACCAACTTGAATCCGTTGCGAAATCTGCGTGGGGAAATATTTCGTTAAATTCTTAACCCTTTAGGCGCCAGAGGTTTTTTCCTAAAACGTTCGATTTTGACTTCGATTTTAATTTCAAAAGACTATATCTTAAAAGTGATAAAAGATAGAGACTTTCTGTAAATTAGAGAAATGTTAAGGATGACCCAAAGTTTATGTAGGGATTATATTTTCCCATCTAATTAGCATATTATGATGTCATATGGTGGTGGCAATCTTGGATTATAGAATTTTCATGAAAAGTCACATGTTTAAATGATAAAATGCAGCACTTCTTTCCCCCTAAAATGTCCATCACCTTCTGTATGCTATATTGCACAATACTGAATGCTCAGGTATATAGTAAGTAGTAAACAAACTGTGTAAATCATTACTAATAAATGGTAGAAACAAACCGAATGCATGTAGTGGTTGGCCTTTTGCTGTAGAGATTTTCCATTTACTAAATACAGTAGGCACTCTAATTCCATGTATGGGGCACATATATATTATTCATATGACATACAAACACAAGTAGACAAGACCTGTTTAGTTCAAACGCTCACTCGCACAGATCATGAGTGACATGATACGAGCAGCGCGGCCAGATCTGCCTCGCGCGCGCGCCGAGTGTGCGGAGCTCGGACTACTGTCATTGTCATTGCGACTCCTCACCCTGCCTCCACGTTGCCTCCTAACTGTCCTATGAATACTTCAACCTCGTCTAACATACCCAGTGGTATTAGACAAAGTCTCCACCACAATACTGTCGCCGTGATTGCGGAGAGGATCTGATAACATGGCTCACTCTCACACTAGCTCCGCTTTTGATCGCACTGATTCAATGCGCTCTAACTCGAACATTTTGTATAAAAACATGACGTTTTTTTGATTCGGGGATGAAGTATGACATGTCTGCCATCCAGTGGAGGGGAGGTTGAACGAAATTTGACACCCAATTTGACAAAATCGGCCGTTTTATTCAGTCCCGCATCTTGTCGAGTAAACTCGACCGTGGCGCCTAGAGGGTTAATTGTGCAGATTCCTATTGAAATGACTTGATTTCGCACACAAAACTTGTCGAACAACTGAAAATGTGACCAGTGGCGTCCCTGTCTGTACGCAGAGTATGCACACTGCATACCCTGACATCATGAGCATTTCAATATGAATTAAATTGCCATGTTAGTTCTTTCCGCAATTCAAAGAGAAAGTAATAATGTTTGTGGCAGTCTCTCTCATGTAACGATTCAATCAGTCTACCATTGTAGTCTGTCTGTCCGTGATAAAAAGCAGTGTGCGCTGCTCTGTTTAGTAGATTAGCGTTTAGGCTGGGTGTTCACACCGAAACAACTGCCATGACCCGAATGAACATGGAGCGCTTTTTTGCTTTTAAATTTGCGAGATGCAGTGCAGCAAAATGTCTCAAGTTCGTGTTTTTAAAAGTTGAACTTCTTGGCACGCTATTTTAAAAACTCATTGAAAAAGCAGTGAAATGCGCCACGACGTCCGTCTAGTGCATGTTAAATAGAAAACAATTTAAAAGCAGCACTGGAATGCAACAACACATTTTATGATTAAAGTTATTAATATAGCCTGCTGTTCCGGACGGTAGGTGGGATTGTCAGTTCGCAGGTTTCATCAAACCGTCGTTGATTCACCGAGTTGATAAAGTAATAATACTGTTCAGTGTAATTGAGAAGTTATGTCTAACATTTATACTTAATAACTTTGCACAGTTTACAGTGTGAAAGAGTTTTAATTAAGATGGTTAAATGTAAACAAACCTTGACTACTGTAAAGGTTTTTTTTCTTCTACTGCGTACCATGAAAATGAATCCTGTGACCACACCTTAAACATTGTATCTTTCTCTCTGTCTCTCAGTATTTTCCTCACAGCTGCTTTGGGAATGCCTGAGGCTTTGATCCCAGTCCAGTTGCTGTGGGTCAATCTGGTGACGGATGGCTTCCCAGCTACTGCTCTTGGCTTCAACCCCCCTGACCTGGATATCATGTCACGTCCCCCACGCTCCCCTAAAGAACCACTCATTTCTGGTTGGCTCTTCTGCAGATACCTCATCATTGGCTGTGAGTCATTTACACAAATGTCACTTCTTGTCATTAGTGTATATAAAATAATGCTATTAAAATGAAGGATTGATCCGGTCTTTTGATTTTCCTCGTGTATATCATACAGCTTTGTGTGATGTGTGCAGCCTGAGCCATCTGGTCCATTCCAATCCAGACATAAGCGATATGACACCTATATTTTGTGTCATCTTTCACAGTTTTTTTTTTGTTTAAAACTCTGTCCCTCTTTAGTGTACTAGACAGCAGGTTAAGAATTAGCAAGAAGACCAACTGGACAACCCATAAAAAGTCAAAATGCTGATTGCACAAGCTTATTATTCAATTTGATTCAGTACCATTCCGATTTCAATACGATATTGATTCATATATATATATATATATATATATATTAGGGCTGTTGGAACGAATTCCGAAATTCGAATATAATTCGAATATTAAAAAAATCAATACTATTCGAATGCTGAAGTTACTATTCGAATATTGTTTTTTTATGTATATATATTTTTAAAAAATGTATACCGTAAAACTTCAAATAATAGCCGAGTCCCAAATAGACGCCTGTCTCTTTTACACGCCTGGTGTGGCTGCAGGTTTGGGTAAATAAAGGCCGGTCTCAAATAGAGGCCGGTCTGTTTTTTAGTTTCGGGTTAGTATTTAATCTTCTAAAACCCGTCAGATCGTCTGCTTTTTTGGCGGCCGCCAACGCAAATGTTTGTTCCGCCAAAGCCTATTTTGATCGGTGAGTGATGTAGAATAGAATGACTGCTGCGCCTGACAGGACGCATAACGAGCAGAGAGAGAGAGAGAGAGAGAGCGCCCCGGCCGCGCGCGCGCACTCTCACGTCTTCAAACAACACGAGCGCTGTCTTGGTCTCTCTCCCTCGCGCATATTAATCAAAACCAATTGATACGATAGTAAAAGGTCGGAAGTTTCACGTGGAGCATTTGGATATTTTTAGAGATTAGAGACTCTAAGCCTACACTCAATGAACAACATCTCAACACTAAATTATAAAGGCCTGTCTCAATTAGACGCCTGTCTCAAATACTACAAGCCGGTGCAGTGCGACGATTTGGGAAAATAAAAGCCCGGGCTACTATTTGAAGTTTTACGGTATGCAATCTTGCCTTTCTCGCCACCTTGGCTTACACACATGTGAAAATGAAATGCTTTTGTTTCGTCTGATGAACAATAAAGTTTTTGAATAGTAACACAATTGTGCACGTTATCCACGTTGAAATGGTAAATGTTTAACAACGTAAAAAAGCGCCCGTGAAGAGCAAATATCTCGGTGAAAACTCAACGGATTTGGCGAGCACCGAACTCGTTGGAACCGTCTAATCGAACTGAAAAGAACGATATAAGTTTCAGAATTTTTGGTGGTGTTTTAGCGGAGATATTAGCCAAAAACCATCGGTAGCGCTTCAACCATATTCAGCACAAATAAAATGTTTATTGTAATGTTAGATGTCCCTCTAGTGGACAGAACGTGTAACAACAACCACATGCTAAGCCTGAGTAATGTCGTAAATATTAATAATAGGAATTTGAGCATTTAATATTCGAATATTATTCGAAAATTAAATGAAATAAGGAATGGAATTCGAATAGTATTATAGAGGAAGATTGACAGCCCTAATATATATAAGTCCAAATTCAATTGCTATTCATTTCTAGATAATCAACATTCAAATAAAAAACAAGTTTTATATAAACATTTAAATTTCATACAAGTCAGTTTTTATATAAACTTTTGAATGATTTATTAATCTTCTCCAATTTGTTCTTGAAATATAAACATTAAATGGTAACCGTCAGAACTTGTTTTCATAACAGATGAGGCAACTACAGCAATCTGTCACGCCACATTAAAGAGCGTCAAAACAATATTTATTGTTGGAATTTCATGATAAAGCAGAATATGAAAGCAGAGACATATTGGATGGGAGGTGCGCTGCAAGTAATAGTGAAGTTTTGTTCACACATCAACAGAAAACAACATAGACCAAAAGATTGATCTTGGAATTTAAGAATCAATGTCTCTTCGTCAATATGGAGATCGATTTAAAATCGTTTAATCAATATTGTCAACCTAGCTCTAGTAAACATTACTCGAGAGTCGAGAGAACTGTCAAGAGGCTAAATTACAACAATCTATGTATGAACTTTCACACACTCTCTTTTGGAAGGTAACCATGAATGAAAGTTTAAGAACCAATGAATTGACTGAAAATGTTAATTGGTTAAGTTGCATTTCAATCCCTTTATCTCTCTCTCTGTTTTGCAGGTTATGTAGGGGCAGCAACAGTTGGAGCTGCTGCCTGGTGGTTCATGGCAGCTCATGATGGACCAAAGCTCAACTACTACCAACTGGTAATAAAAAATTAAATCCCCAAAACAAAATCACACACTGCAGTTTCTCTGAGTAACTCTTTGAAAAGGACTTCTGTAAACTTGATGTAAACTCATCCTCTCTTCGACTCATTTTGACACGAAATTCGTTTTCTTTTCTTTTTTAAAAATTGTTCATCGGAGTGGTCCAAGACCTTTTTTTTATGAAAAGTTTAAAGTTTATGTGGTTGTAATTAGGGGTGTGCGTTATCACGATTTTTGATCGTGGACGATTAAACATTTCATTCCCGGGCTGATGCGCTGTTCTAACGTGTGCTTTTCTGAGCGCATATACCCGAAGCGCACAGGCACTAAAAGCCTGTCAAACAGTGCCTGCCTGGTTACTGGACTGAGTTATCGTTCCAGTCTTATTGCGCTAATATTGTCAAATACACAAAAGGTTTACATAAACACAGTTGGTTATGTCTAAAGTGAAAGCAAACATTTGAGAGAAAATCGGGTGCGTGTCATTTACATGTATTTTAGAATAGATGCATGCTCTTCTTAAAGTAACAGTAGCCTAATAGTAAACATGCTTCTGTTATCCTTAAAGGGATAGTTCGCCCACAAATGAAAATTTGTCATTATTTACTCACTCTAATGTTGTTCCAAACCTGTATTCATTTATTTCTTGTGCTGAACACAAAATAAGTTATTTTGAAGAATGTGGGTAACCAAACAGTTGCTGGTCCCCACTGACTTCCACAGTAGAAAAAAATATACAATGGAAATCACTTTTATTTTCTACAGAAGAAAGAAAGTTATTCGGGTTTAAAACAACTTGAGAGTAAATGATGACAATTTTCATTTTGGGGGAAACTATCCCTTTTAATGTTAATAAAACAACAAAACACCAAGAGAAAATCACTCACTGCTCTTGACTGAGAACTTTAATAGTAGCTTTAAAAAGAATCAATGTATAATTTATACAGTGAAGTCTTTGTAGCGTTTTATTTTTATATTTGTTCATTTAATTTCTTTCTTGAATGCTACTGTTAAATACACAATATACAACTGAAATAAACAGTGCTTTATTTTTTTCAGCTACAGTATAAGTTGTGTATATGTAATGTATATCTTTGTTCTCATTTTTTAATAACAAAGAAAATAATAACAAAGATTTTTATCTTCGCCACTTTGGCCTAAATGTCTGCCATTCTTTTTTTTTAATATTTTGTTTCCTTGTAAGGCTGGTTTTAAAATATAGACATTAGTTTGGCTGTAATGCTCAGTCACTTGAAAAATAGTAAAACCAACATGAAAACAAATCGTAATAAAATAGTGAATCGTGATTTTCCTGAAAAAAAATGGTGATATGATATTTTTGCCATATCGCCCACCCCTAGTTGTAATAAAAAAAAGTAACAAATCCTTTCCATGCGATCAATTTGACCCCCATAGGAATGAATGGAAAATGGGGATATATATATATATATTTTTATAAATTAAATTATATTTTTTTATATAAATTATAAATTAAATTTTCTTTTTTATATATATTTAAAATATTTAAAATTCTGGCACAATCCAGAACAAACACACACACATGAAGGCATGAGTCTATAGAACATCCCCAATGCAGAACACAATCACATGCTTACAAATTCCCATTAAAATAAATGGTGAAATTATAACAGCATTTTTGGAGCTGTAACAGAATTTTTTTATTCTGAATTAAAATCAGCCTTTTCAAATAAATATTATTTTTTGTTTTACTTGTTTTTTGTTTGTTTTTTCCCCTGCTTTCCACCTTTCTAACTTGAATTATTGCAAAATCTGACACTTCAGTATAAATACAACTCTAAAAAAAATCTCTAAATTTAAACTAAAAATGCTAAAACTTTACCAAAAATTGATTTTATAATGTCTAATATATACCTGAATGTAAACTAAAGAAAGAAACTGAAGAAATAACTTTAGGACCCAGGGGAACAGTTAATTCGCTCTATAGAGCTATAAGGCCATCTAGTGGCAAGAGTCATGAAATATCATGTTATATTATTGTTTCTCCACAAGAGGTCGGCAGATACACCCAATGTGAGACTTTTTGAGCTGTTTTAACAAGTTTTTGCATGTAATGGAGAGTTATTTTGTATTTAAGTGAAAGAATGTGAATGTGCTTATTTATATTAAAATTATTGATACAATCTAGTAATTTAGAGGAAAATAAAATAACAAAATGCCTCCAAAACAATTGACCTATGGGCTATGGCTAAGCCACGCCAAACAGTCAACATTCGGTGACAGGCGCTATGGCAGCTGTCACAGTACATTTCACAGGAGGCAATTGATGATTTTTGGAGACAGAAAGATTATATATCATCTCGAAGTCACCAAAAGGGCCTTAACTATGCATTGGAGGGTTATATTAATAATCTTATTGTTGAGAAGGTCGATGAAAAGCTTCAGCTCCAGGCAAAAATGTACAGGTCACAGTGTAAACGTGATAAACCGCATCTCGTTGCCATCACCATCTCAGACAACAAGATAGAGGATCAGCATTGTTCATGTACTGCAGTATATACATGAATCATTCAGCACAAACATTGCTAACATTTGTTATCTCGGTTATTTACATGTAGGTTAATGAAGCTAAGTGACATGATGTACAACGCAGCTAGAAGCTAACGTCAACGTTTTCTAATGTTAGGCAAACGTTAGCCTAACGTTACGTTAGAGATGTTAAAGACAACGTTCAAATACGTTGTTGACTTAGAATAGATGTAGACATCCTTGTTTAATTCTTGTTTAATTTAACCACGTTTAGTTGGTGTTGTGGTCTACCGCATAACTTAATCCAGACACCAGCAGACACTTATCTTGGTTGAGATGTGGCTTGGGAAAGGGTAAGAAATACACACCGTCGCCCAGCCTCTCGGGATACCTAGTGTCGGAGTTGCATGTACCCCATGCACACCGTTTGACAATTTTAAACTTAAAGGTGCACTATGCAGGAATTCCGTTTTTGTCAAACAGCGACCCCTAGAGTCGCTGTGGAGTACTTGTACTGTCGTAAATAGCACTCACGCAGAGATGGCTCTGTACTCACGGCCTGATCCCCTCCCCCTGTACACCGGTACCTGTTCAGTAGGATGGAAGCTGTAACGAGTTGAAATAATGGCTCGTTTCCACTGAGCTGTACGGTACGGTACAGTTCGGTACGGTACGCAATTATTTGCGTTTCCACTGTCAAAAGTTTTGAATGGTACCAAAAAGCCGAACCGTACCGTACCACTTTTTGGGTACCCTTCCGTTAGGGTACCTAGCACAGTGGTACGGTACTAAAAGGTGGAGCTAGACTCACTGCAGAACGCTGATTGGTTGACAGAGTATCGTCATACAAGGGCATTAGAAGCGCCATTTTTTAATATACAGTTGAAATATAATACTACTGTTATTGTGTCACGAAATGTAGTTTTAAAGGGGTCATATAATGCCATTTTTGTACAAGCTAATATGATTCTTTAGGGTCTAAATTAAAAGTTTGTAATATACTCTAATTAAAAATTCTCATTAGTATTGTAAGAAAACACTTATTTTACCTGGTCAAAAACAGCTCTGTTTTCAGCACGCCGTTTCAGTGCATATGCCTTTAAATGATAATGAGCTTTGCTCACTCCGCCTCTCTGTTCTGTGCGTACACGTTTGTAACACAATAACCATAACGCATTGTTCATTATAAACGTGGGATTATGAATTATATGGAGAACGTCGTACATAGAAAACATGCAGTAATGTACCCTGAGTGTAAACCTTAGACTCATTCATCGTGAAGCGATTTGCAAAGATATAAATATTAATATAAAGTTTAATAAAACGTTACACTCACTTCAGTTGTTCTAGAGGTTCAGCAGGAACACGAATATCTGGTACCGATCATTTTTTCATGAGCAGCTTCTTAGCAAAACCAGCTTTATACTGACCCTCGTTTATAAGCAGTCTGCTGAGAAATGATTTGCGCAAACATGAGAGCATTGACGTTGCTCGTTGGGAATATTCCCTTCGAAAACAAAACTCAGCCACTGCGTCTTCAGCGGTTCGGATTTAGGAACATCAAAATGACTGCTGTGTTCCTTATTGCACCCAAGAACAGAACACCACAATCGCTTAGACGCCATTCTGCTCATAGACAGTGCTCCAGCATATCAATAATGACCGCGCCGGTCCTTGATTGGACTATGATTGACAGCTCCCTCGTGAGCGAGCGCGGGTCTGTGTTGAAACGCGCCTGTCAATCAACAATCGCGGGAGGGGCGTCCGACCGTGTGACGTCACACGGTCGAACGGCTCGATTTGAGGCAGGGGAAAACATATAAGGAGATTAAAACAAAAACACTGGATGGATTTTTATCATTATATGATGGTTGTGTACAGGCACTGCCAACACACATTTCAGTACAATCAACTTGAAAAAGTGCATGTACCATTTTATGACCCCTTTAAGAGTTTTTCAGGCGAGAATGTAGTTTTTTAAAGCTCAAATCTGTGGTTTATTTATAGATTTATGATAATTTGACTGAGATCCATTCCAAGCAATCACCGGGTGCTCGGCGCTCAAGTACCCCGCCTGGAACAGCCTTTCCTCGCCCTTCGGATTTAGTTTTGTTATAAATACAGTGAATATAATCAATAGGATATGCGTTGCCTGAACCACATTTGTGTGCTTATAATGTTTAAAATGTATTTAAATGAAATCGAAAAGAAGCAGAGTGGTGTTTTTATAACATATTTCGTTTTATTGTTGCCTAAAATGTACATACAGAGATAACCGGAGTAGCAGAGCGAGCTGAGTGGCGCTTTCAAGAACGCGCTGTTCCATTAGCAGAATTACTGGACTCACGTCCTCGGGAGTCATTCTCCTGAGTCGGACTTTGCGTAGGCTACTTGGTATTGAGAAACGCCTAATGCCGGCGCTTGTTTCTTGTGACAAACATGCCGAGAAAGCAAGAACAAGATCTGCAGTATGTCATCCATATTGTTTACTATGTCGCTTTCTTCTTCGCGCGAAAATGACGTCGATCGCTTCTTTCCGGCAAACACCACGCCTATCAAGTAAGGGTACTGTTGGCGGTGGAAACGCTAGCAGGATCATGGTTTACCGAACCGTACTGTACTGTACCGTACCGTACCGTACCGCTCAGTGGAAACGAGCCATAAGGTGTGGCCCCTTTAAGAGCTGCGCGCCCTGTTTAACTGTCGGCAGTCTGTATTGTATGTGCGCCTCGAACACCACATGTATACGGTGTTTGATGAATACGGTATACGGTGTTTTTCTGTTTGATGCTTATTTTATCAGATCTTTTTTGCCATAAAGCAATTCGTTACATCGCGAGACCTGATATCACGCGACACTTACTGATGCTGCGGCCGGCGTCTCGCCGGCTCAAAATTGCAAGTGTGTTTTTTCTGCTCACATGCGATAGGGGGGTGCGAAACGACCACCATTCAACCCGAAAAGAGTAATATAACCATTCCAATGACTCCGAAGCTGTTCGGTTGAGGTAAAAAACCTGCATAGTTCACCTTTAAAATGACAAGAAATAACATATAAAAACGAATGAAAACTGACTAATTGCAATGCATTTCAATGGACGTAGAAGCAGAGAATGTCCGAGTGTATTGGTTTAGCTATGCGCACTGTGATTGGCTCATCGCGTTTGGGGGCATGGCTTAGCCATAGGTCAATTGCATTAAAAGTAGGACAATTATAAAAATGAAATGATATAAGCTTTCTGGAAAAAAAAAAAGTGAATACGTATAATTTTATGGCTTCGAGTCATTCTGACCCGTGAGGGAAGGATTTGTTACAGGTACAGGAGGAGAGGATAAGGATAAAATATCATTTTTGACCAAGCAAGACAGTTTTGTAAATACATCTTCTCTTTTGTTTTTTCTATAGTCCCACTATCTGCAGTGCAGTGAAGGTCATGCTGAGTTTGCAGGAGTGCAGTGCTCCGTGTTCGAGTCTCCATACCCCATGACTATGGCCCTGTCTGTGCTGGTCACTATAGAGATGTGCAATGCCCTCAACAGGTATGTGATTTTTAAGAAATGCTGTCATGACATAAATTCACTACTGGATGTTTTTATGGGGAGAATAGACAATTCATCTTACAACACATCTTACAACTATACCTACTATTATGCTAAAGTATTCTTAATGCAAATATACAATTTAATTTGATTTTCTCTTTATTTCATCAAAATGATGACGCATCACTTATAAAGTATATAATATATACACTACCATTCAAAAGTTTGGGGACAGTAAGATTTTTTTTAAAGAAATTAATACTTTCATTCTGTTATGATGAGGTGGAAGCAAGGAGGAAGCAGGATCCAATTGCAGCACACTTTATTTAATAAACTCAAACTACATAAAGACTCTGGCTAGGGCACAAGACTCAGGAACAGAACCACCAACATCAATGTTACAACAACAAGAACTCACAAAGACTGGACTGAAACACAGGGCTTAAATACAAGGCCAAACAAGCTAAACAAGATAACAAGGGGGCGTGGTATACATGAACACAAACGAGGAGCGGGAAAACTGAACAGGACTGAACCAAAAGCACAAAGACAGTGGGAACACAGACAGACATACAACATAGCCCCCCCTCTATGGGCGGCTCCCGACGCCCATCAAAACTAGAGACATAGTTCGGGAGGGTGGTGGAGCGGAGGCGGTCCCGGGGGAGGGATGGCGGGCCAGGTCCGTGCAGGGAACGGGACCGGGGTCTTGCGATGGCGGACCTGGGCCATGGAACATGGGCGGAGCTGGACGAACAGACTGCCAGGGCGGAGCAGGCTGTGGGCGTGTCCACGACGGAGCAGGCTGAGGGCGAGGCCACGGCGGAGCAGGCTGTGGGCATGACCAGGGCGGAGCAGGCTGTGGACCCTCGGGCATCCAGGGCGAAGCTGTCGGACCCTCGGGCGTCCAGGGCGGAGCTTTCGGACCCTCGGGCGTCCAGGGCGGAGCTGTCGGACCCTCGGGCGTCCAGGGCGGAGCTGTCGGACCCTCGGGCGTCCAGGGTGGAGCAGGCTGCGCAGGCGACCAGGCTGGACTAGGTAGTTCGGGCGGCCACGGCGGCGAAGACCCTTCCGGCAGCCACGGCGGCGAAGACCCCTCAGGCGGCCACGGCGGCAAAGACCCCTCGGGCGGCCACGGCGGCGAAGACCCCTCGGGCGGCCACGGCGGCGAAGACCCTTCGGGCGGCCACGGCGGCGAAGACCCCTCGGGCGGCCACGGCGGTGAAGACCCTTCGGGCGGCCACGGCGGTGCGGCTTTCACAGTCCCGTCCAGGATCCTACTGCCCCCCCCCAAAATTTTCTTGGGGGCAGCCATGGGGTCATCAGCAGGATCAGCGGGCTCTGGCGCAGGATCAGCGGGCTCTGGCGCAGGATCAGCGGGCTCTGGCGCAGGATCAGCGGGCTCTGGCGCAGGATCAGCGGGCTCTGGCGCAGGATCAGCGGGCTCTGGCGCAGGATCAGCGGGCTCTGGCGCAGGATCAGCGGGCTCTGGCGCAGGATCAGCGGGCTCTGGCGCAGGATCAGCGGGCTCTGGCGCAGGATCAGCGGGCTCTGGCGCAGGATCAGCGGGCTCTGGCGCAGGATCAGCGGGCTCTGGCGCAGGATCAGCGGGCTCTGGCGCAGGATCAGCGGGCTCTGGCGCAGGATCAGCGGGCTCTGGCGCAGGATCAGCGGGCTCTGGCGCAGGATCAGCGGGCTCTGGCGCAGGATCAGCGGGCTCTGGCGCAGGATCAGCGGGCTCTGGCGCAGGATCAGCGGGCTCTGGCGCAGGATCAGCGGGCTCCGGCGCAGGATCAGCGGGCTCCGGCGCAGGATCAGCGGGCTCTGGCGCAGGATCAGCGGGCTCTGGCGCAGGATCAGCGGGCTCTGGCGCAGGATCAGCGGGCTCTGGCGCAGGATCAGCGGGCTCTGGCGCAGGATCAGCGGGCTCTGGCGCAGGATCAGCGGGCTCTGGCGCAGGATCAGCGGGCTCTGGCGCAGGATCAGCGGGCTCTGGCGCAGGATCAGCGGGCTCTGGTGCAGGATCAGCGGGCTCTGGCGCAGGATCAGCGGGCACCGGCTCAAGTGTGTGCGTAGCCCACACACACCACATGGCTGTGGCCATAATGGCCAGTGTTGCGGTCACTAAGGGCTCAGGCGGCGCATGCGTTGCGTGAACGGTCTCTGGCTGGGCAGACGTGACGTGAACGGTCTCTGGCTGGACGTGGCTGACGTGAAGCTCTGGCTGGACGTGGCTGACGTTAAGCTCTGGCTGGACGTGGCTGACGTGAAGCTCTGGCTGGACGTGGCTGACGTGAAGCTCTGGCTGGACGTGGCTGACGTGAAGCTCTGGCTGGACGTGGCTGACGTGAAGCTCTGGCTGGACGTGGCTGACGTGAAGCTCTGGCTGGACGTGGCTGACGTGAAGCTCTGGCTGGACGTGGCTGACGTGAAGCTCTGGCTGGACGTGGCTGACGTGAAGCTCTGGCTGGACGTGGCTGACGTGAAGCTCTGGCTGGACGTGGCTGACGTGAAGCTCTGGCTGGACGTGGCTGACGTGAAGCTCTGGCTGGACTGTGAGCTGGCAGGGTGCTTCATCAGCCAAGCCCACAGTAAATGCCGAACCACCTAAGTAAAGGGCCAGGTCAATATATCCCTCTAGGGTCCAGCCAGTATAGTTATCCGGCATCAGCCTGGCAATATCCACATCCAACCCGCTCCAGAACAGGTCCATGAGCTCAGAGTCTTCAAAAGATCCCAGATGGCAGCAGTTCAAAAAGTCCCTCACGTACCTCTCGATCGGCTGGCCATCTTGAAACATTGAGGCAAGAAATCTTCTTAGTGCCTGGTTGCTGACTGCTGCTGGATCCATGTTTGGTGAGTTCTTCTGTTATGATGAGGTGGAAGCAAGGAGGAAGCAGGATCCAATTGCAGCACACTTTATTTAATAAACTCAAACTACATAAAGACTCTGGCGAGGGCACAAGACTCAGGAACAGAACCACCAACATCAATGTTACAACAACAAGAACTCACAAAGACTGGACTGAAACACAGGGCTTAAATACAAGGCCAAACAAGCTAAACAAGATAACAAGGGGGCGTGGTATACATGAACACAAACGAGGAGCGGGAAAACTGAACAGGACTGAACCAAAAGCACAAAGACAGGGGGAACACAGACAGACATACAACACATTCAGCAAGGACACATTAAATTAATTAAACAGGATTTTTATATTGTTACAAAAAATTATATTTTTTTTAATAAATGCTTTCCTTTTGAACACTCTATTCAAAAAATCCTTTTAAAAAAACATGTATCACGGTTTTCAAAAAATATTAACCAGCACAACATGTTTTCAACATTGATACTAATAAGAAATGTTTCTTGAGCAGCAAATCAGCATATTAGAATGATCTCTGAAGGATCATGTGACACTGAAGACTGGAGTAATGATGCTGAAAATTCAGCTTTGCCATCACAGGAATAAATGACATTTGAATGTATATTCAGTTTAAAAAATAGTTCTTTCACGATATATATTTTTTTACTGTATTTTTGATCCAATAAATTCAGTCTTCAAAAACATTTTTTTTTTTACTGACCCCGAACTTTTGAATGGTAGTGTATTTGACACATTGTTTTTGTTTCTAAAGCAAAGAACAAAAGGGCTTTTCTGAGTACATGGTAGAAACGGGGGACTGAACAGATTAATCCAAAATATTTCTTTGTTACAAAAACTTTTTCCTTTGTTGCCTGAATTATCCCAGTACTAAAGAATCGGTGTAAACGTGTTTGTTATTTTTATATGTGTTGTATATTTAATACATAATAGATTAAACTAAATGTCATAAATATGATTTATACTTTGAAGTAATATTATAATATCTTTCTGAACAGTAATAATACTGAAAAGGGCAGATCATTCTACCTATGTTTGGTTTTAAGACAGGGGAGCATGGACTGCTCTTATTGTCTTTGTGTGTATGTGTGTTTCAGTTTGTCCGAAAATCAGTCTCTACTCAAGATGCCACCGTGGTCAAACCCCTGGCTGGTGGGAGCCATCTGTCTCTCCATGGCCCTACACTTCCTCATCTTATATGTGGACCCTCTTCCTGTAAGTAAGATTCTGTGTGCCAGAGATTTTAAAAGATGATGCAGAAGTATCTCAGAAAAATGCCTGCCCTGAGCATAATTAAAGAGGAATGTGTGAGTTTGATAGGTTGGACTTGTGTATGCCTGTCTGTCAGTAAGCCACAATACAAGTGGTTGCCTGCCTAATGAATCTAGGAAATTATGGAGATTGCTGCTTATTTCACTGATGATGAAAGGCTTCCCTGAGAAATAACAGTAAATTATAACCCCCTCTCAGACTTATTTCAGGAATATTTGTGACTTTATTATGCAATGTTAAGGAAATTATGTCATCTTTAAGAATGAAAATTAAAAATTGTGTCATTTAAACTATCGTACAAAAGTTTGGGCTCAGTGCGGTTTTTAAAAGAGGTCTATTTTTCTCACCAATGCTGCGTTTATTTGATCATAAATACAGTAAAACAGTTATATATTGTGAACTCTTGTTACAATTAAAAAATCTTTTAATATATTTATATGATTACCTTAAGAAATCAGTCCAATATTCTGATTTGGTGCTCAAGTAAACACAATTATATTTTTTTCAGGATTCTTTGAGAAATATAAATTTCAAAAGAACAGCGTTTCTTTGAAATGGAAGTGTTTTGTAAAATGATGTCTTTACTATCACTTTTAGTATTAAATTCTTTGAACAAATCTTACGGACCATAAACTTTTGAACAATGCATTTCTCATGTCGCTCCAATAACCTGTATGACTTTCTTTCTTTGGTGGGACACAAAAGGTGCATTTTATTCTTCTATCTTTTGAAGACTATCTTGGTCACTATAAAGTGAATTAGGACTTGTGCCATCAAGCTTCAAAATGGTAAAAGGCACCATGAAAGTCTCTAGAATGCCGTATATATCATAAATTTAAGATGCTATTTATTAAAAATCTTGACATCCGCCCTATCGCTCCTTGTGTTGATAATGAAAAAAGTATTCTTTTGAGTTGAATCTTTTCAATGAATCTAATTCAATGCTTCAGTTCTCAAAAACCTGAATGATTTGTTCACAAATCAAACTGGGCTGCGTTTCCCAAAAGCATCGTAAGCCTAAGTTGATCGTAGAGACCATTGATGTCAATTGTTCTATGATTAACTTAGGCTCCACAGAAGATAGAAAGTCAGTCAGTTTGGAATGGACATTAGTGTAAACTGAACTATTCCTGTAAGTTAAAGCCATGCCTGTTATTGTTTGTCTCTGTAGTTCATATTTCAGATCAGACCATTATCTTGGCCTCAGTGGGTGACTGTTCTGAAGATGTCTCTGCCTGTTATTTTGATGGATGAAGCCCTGAAGTTCTTGGCCAGAAACTACATTGAGCCTGGCAACGAGTTGCTGGAGGAGGACGGAAATGTGGCCAGGGGGGTGATTGGCAAACTGCAGCAGGCATTTAGGGGTGTATCCTGGTCATTTGTGCTCATCTCTGCCCCATTGCTGGTCTGGATCTTCAGCCTGGACTCAGACATAACCAATATCTTCTGGGATTAGAAGGAAGGAGTGTGGATGTGAGTCTTGTGTGTGTGTGTGTGTGTGTGTGTGTGTGTGTGTGTGTGTGTGTGTGTGTGTGTGTGTGTGTGTGTGTGTGTGTGTGTGTGTGTGTGTGTGTGTGTGTGTGTGTGTGTGTGTGTGTGTGTGTTTGTGTGTGTGTGAGAGTCAGAGGCAGACGGCTGATGTACAGAAGCAGTGTACGGATCTAATGTAGAATGAATTTGATGCTCAGAGTGAAAAACAGAGAAGTACGAAGGAACAGTTACGGAGCCACTAAAAGGACACGGTGAAGGAAAAAAGATGGGAAGAAAAATTATGTCAATGCTTTTGGGGTCAAAATCTTGATGTCAAGTTTGTGTTCCTTTAAGAATCTTTTCATTCGTTTGCAAAAACCTTAGCGTTTCCTCCCAAAACTTTTGAGAATCTTTTATTTTTTTTATCACCATGTCCTTTTAGGTGCTCTGTAAAAGGTAGAGCTGGACCAGGACAATCACAGATAAATGAATGCTGGGAAAAGCTAGCGACAGACAGAGAGAGAAAATTTTAATTCAGTCTTAAAAAATGGCAAATGATTTGTGCTCATGACCAACTACTTCAGCCTTCCCCATGTGTCACTGGTTTTGCATTGTACTTTCAGTTTTTATTTTTGTTATTTATTTTTTGAAAATAAGTTAAAAATGCACATACGTATATATTCATTTTAGCCTCAAATTTTAATACAATTTTAATTTGAGTTTTTCTTTTAATTAGTTGCTTTTTAAAGTTTATTTGTGTAATTTTTGTATTACTAGCGATACCAAACGGAAATGCCACGTTTGCTTAATCAGCCCAACCGGGGCGAGACATAAAAACATTGGCTCAACCGCATGAATTTAGCAGGACTATCCATTTGACTGACCTATGAAAGACAGTGGAGACTTTATCTTGGGCTTCTATTGGCACAGAAATGACACACTTTCCCTAAAGAAATGTAGTTAAAACAGCCCAAAAGCATCGCAATTGTCCATCAAAGACTTAATTTTTCATGATAAATGATATTTTAACCACATACTGCCGCCACATGTATTAAAATATGTTTGTTGGGCCTTAAAAACATCACCCCTAAACATTTAGTTAAAATGTTTTAAGTCAAAGCAGGCTGAAAAAGTAAATATCCCAGAAAGGAAGGAATTTATGATTTTTTCACTATGTTCCAACGTTACTTCACTTGTGCTTGGGGTAAAATACACATTTTTACCCGCATACAATATTCTTATGTTCAGGCGTTTTATGTTTATTTGTTTTATCAAGTCACAAAGTCACTTAATATTTTCGCATGCCGTTCATTGTAATTTCCTCAAATTTCCCCAGTCAAAGTGACGTGACAGTACAAAAAAACCCAAACCTTTCATTATCTTACCCGAAACACTTCCTTGTCATCGCATTGCATTTTTGAAGATCTTTTATTTGGGTATGCCAGCTATACCATGAGTATTGAAAACCGGTCATACAAGTTTCATAGCATGCGCTCACATTTCATTCATATAGGGGGTTGGGGTTTTGGAACTCTCACACTCACGTTGAATCATAACTTTCCAAATTACGTTGGGGATTTTTTAAAATGTTTTCAGTGTGACTGCTTTATTTTTATTGCTGTGCCTGTATGGCAGGGAATGTTGTTTTTTCCTGCCTTTATCCTTTAATATGCCTCTAGTGTCCTGAGTCTAACCAGCTACTATTTATTGGGGGCCATTTATTACTTATTAAGACCAAACATCTTTATCAGGTGTCCAGTTATCATACTTCGCTTATCAGATGGATGCTGAAAACGTTTGGCAACAGCATCTGTAATTAATCAGAGCCCAAAAAAAGAAAGGCTTTTTTGAGTTTCAGGATCGGTTGTGGATCAATTGTTGTTAAGAACAGAGCGATTAAGTGGAATTCCATCCTAATGTGTCGAGTTTTGGGGGGAATGTTCATGTTCATAACCTGTTTATTTCATGTATTCATCCTTTTGGTCATTGTTTCCCTCATCCATCTGAGTCTTATTTTAATGTTAGCTTTTTTTTTATTATTATTATTGAAAATCATTCCACTAAAGGAGCTTTATACAAGAATGAAAATCCTGTTCTTTCTATTTGTCATTTAGATTCTATTTATTTCCTATTTCTTGAAAAAGACATTTTGAATTTTGTAGTATTTTGTTATTCATGCAGTTGATACCATAATTGTCATTTAATCGCTGTTCCATTAACAGGGAAATGGAAACCGCTTCATGAAATGGAAAAATAAACTCTTGATTTAAAATTCATTAGCTGTCTTTGTGTCTTGTAGCATTTTGAAACATTTGACGAAACACTACTGTAAATATTAAAATGTAAAACATTTTTTATTGACATACATTTATCACAATAAAAAAATACATATTTCCAATTTATACCAGAGGTCACGGGCACAAACAATGTGTGAAAACATATCATATAAAAACATATTAAATGATAAATAAAAATGTATAAATATAAAAGTGGCAGGATATTTCCAGTACTTTTTAAAACACTTTAGGACACACATGTTGTATTATTTGTAAACACTCCCCAATGAGCTTCTTAAAATCTCTATATTTTTCCCACGAAGAGAGTTGTTGAATTTTCGAGGAGCACGAGGGATTTGATAAATTGCATGTTTTTTCATCTTTTGAGCGTGTGAGCATCTGCGAATACAAAGATATGTTGCGACTCATCTTGTGTAATTTGCAAATGTAGTTCATTCATCTTTAACACTTTTCATTACCTGTAAGTTATCAATTAGGCCTTTAATTTCCTTCCTGATTTTATCGCCATCTTTTTGAAACACCTCCTCGCAGTTACAGTAATCATCAAGTTCCTGTAAAACTTCACACTTTGACTGAGAAAAGAACAAATGCATATCTTGTCAGATACAGTACAGTGGCTATAAGCACTAGCTAAAAGAAGCTGTTAAAAGTCAAATGTCCGCCAGTAACTTACCTTTCTACTGCCTTTTTCTGTAGAGATGACCAACTAAATATACAAATGGAATTATCATTAGATTAAGAAATTAACTCATAATAGACTGATATTAATGACACTTGCACTTACACTTTCAATGGTCAAAAAATGTTTTATCCTGTCAACCCCCAGCCTTGTAATGTTGCAATGTTGTAATGTTGGACTCCATGTGAGTGCAATGGGTGCAAGGCTGCCAGACCTCACACACAGTGTCATTAGGAAGGCATATATCATAGAATGCACTGTAAAACAAAACCAGAAAGCTCATACACTGACAGCAATGAAATCACAAGCGAACTCTCAAGTAATCCATTCATTTTCTCAATCGTATAAAGTCTTACTTGTATCTCCTCGGTGTCAAACACAAAGTCTTTGCTGGCAGTGTTTTAGAGTTGGGTGCCCTTGTCAGAGGTCGACGTCTGTGCCACGGCTTCTGCAAATGTTCCTGATTCTCCATCTTATATATCTTGAGGTCCTCTTTCATCACAAGCTTCCAGCGCTGGACTCAAAACTTTCAGAGAAAATCTCTGAAGAGTCATCAACCTTCTCACCAGTCTAGAAATATGTGAATTGTGTGTGGGTGTATCGATTGGACATGTCTCAACGCTATTGTCAATTCGTTAGAATTTCCTAAGCCCTCATCCTCACTGCTTGTCACTTCCTCCTGGGAAACTATCGGAAATGATGTAATTAAGCATGGGATAGTATTCCCAGAAACTACTTCCAGTTTGTCTACTGCTCAAACAGGTCAGTGGATGACACCACAAATCTCTGGCATGCAAACTTTTGGAAGATTGGTAAACTTGGGATTCTTGTTATAGATTCTTCCATTAAAACTTCCTGAATTGTTTTTGTTTTGTTGCAATAGAGCAGGAATTTGGGCTGATGTAATAAATACTACGTTTCTTGACTGTCAGATCTCAGGTAGGGGGAGAAATTGCAACAGGATTTTCAGGTTCAGATCTTTCTTCATGTCCTTTAAGAAATGCTTGAAGAAATTAATTTCCACTGTTTCTGTACGGCAATGCCCTGCACATTTTTATTGTACATTTGTATGCACTTTGCTCAACACAGTATTCAATTTACGATTCATTTAAATGTACATTACACCTCATCTATTTTTATATATATTTTTGTCTGTTATACTATCCATACATCCAAATGGGGATATGGATAGTCTCCAGTAAGGTGGAAACAGCCTTGCAGAAAAACAATACTAATTTATTATTACTAACCCTAAGCCTATAATCCTTAAAAGATACATTATTTCAACCCTGTCATAAGTTTAGTTTATAAATTATTCATTTGTATACATATAATGTGAATGAATAATTGTAGTAGTAAATAGTAACACTTATTTGAGATGTGCTTTGTAATAACTGACATTATTATTATATAATTATATTTTATACATTCAATTTTGTGTATTGTGATATATAGCACACAAAATGAAAATAAATTTAATAAATTAACAATTAATAACTCTAAAACTATTTTTTAATATATTTATATATAGCTAATATACATTAGCCTATTTTAAATATTTTGGGTTACAATATTACGACATTGAAGGTCAGTGCCAAAACAAAACATTGTACTATATTTAAGCAATACACTCTTAAGAAAAGGTTATATGTAGAACCTTAAAGGGTTCTGTCAGGCACTTCATACACTGTAAAAAATTATATGATCAATAAGTTATGACAACATATGTTTACATTGCTTTAAAGGAGAACTCCGGCGCAAAATGAACCTTTGGTCTAATAAAACATTGGTACCTAGTCAACCGTTCTCTGAGATTTGTTTTCATGATAATCGAATGTAAAGAGTTTTATCTCTAAAAACTGTTTAGCGTATAACGCTAGTAATGGGGGCATATAATAAGTAAAAAGAAATCGCTAGTTAATACCACTAACAAGGCTCAAAATAGCCCCACACGAACACAGTAACATAATGAGGGTCCCTACATGCAAAACGAGGCATTGAGAACTTTGTAAGTGTACAGACCGTTTAATAAGAAGATAAAGATAAAGACAGTCCACTTCGTCTACAGACAGGAGCCATCTTTGGAAAACAGTCTCGACTAGTCAAACCACGAACGACGTACTAAGTAAGCTGAACTGTATGAAGTTCGGTGAACTTCTGAACTGTATGAATGGCGTTCGTGGTTTGATTAGTCGAGACTGTTTTCCAAAGATGGCTCCTGTCTGTATACACGAAGTGGACTGTCTTTATCTTTATCTTCTTATTAAACGGTCTGTACACTTACAGTTCTCAATGCTTCGTTTTGCATGTAGGGACCCTCATTATGTTACTGTGTTCGTGTGGGGCTATTTTGAGCCTTGTTAGTGGTATAAACTAGCGTTCCCTTTCGAGGGAACTCGCGATGCGTCATCGACGCTTTGGGAACGCCCCCAGCGTGAATGCGTCTGAGCATCAATGTCAACTAGTCCAATGGAAAGAATGAGCGTCACGGGCGGGTGACGTCATGACCAGGAAGGCATAAGAGCACATCCGGTGAAACGCGGCATTAGCTTCTGTGTCTCAGCAAGCGATCTGTGTCATTTTGTCTCTGTCTATTTACTGTTGTCTGTTGCGGAAAAGGATGGAAACTAAACAAGTGTACAAACAGTGTGCTTCTCCCTGCCCGCGTTATTTAACGGGTGGGGACACACACGAGCTTTGTGTCATTTGTTTGGGAGTGGAGCATGCCGCTTCGCATGCTCCGCTCTCGCCTGTCACTCGCCTGTCACTCTTTGATAAAGAGAGTGGGCAGGCTCGCGATCCGCAGGGATCAGGACCCGCGTCTGCCGAGGCAGCGCGGAGAATGCATTCCTGGGGATCGCAAAAGGATCTTTCGGAGGGGTTGGAGACGGGTCCGAGGGCTCTTTCTCCTTACCCGAAAGATCCAGCGCTCCCCCCCCCCGGTGTCGGAAGCACGCTCTGCGGTTTCTTCCGCCCGGGGAGAGAGCCCTCCATTACTTCATTGCTCTTCCTCCGAGGAGGTCGATGCTATGAGTTTGGAGAGTGAAAGCACACACATGGGGGAAAGAGATTCACAATTTATTTCCCCAGCATATGATGAGCTGGTGGATGTTATGTCGCGGGCTGTAGATAAATTAAAGATTGAATGGCCATCTGATAATAGGGGCGCTCGTCCTAAGAGTAAATTAGATGAGCGCTTTTTATCTTCTACTGCTTCATCTCCACCACGAGGGCTTCCATTTTTTCCTGATCTTCACAATGAGATTTCTAAATCATGGAATAAGCCATACTCATCACGACTTTTCAGCCCTCAAGTTAATATTTATTCAAGAATTAGAGGGCTGAAAGAGTATGGTTATGAGGCGATGCCCCAGGCGGAACAGAATTTAGCCAGCTATCTTTCCCCTGGTCCCGCATCGTCTCTGAAAGCCTCGGCTTTGCCCACTAGACCGCTCAAAGCCACGTCGGTGTTAGTGGGCAAAGCTTATACGGCAGCAGGTCAAGCTGGAGCATGTCTGCATACTATGGCAGTGCTTCAGGCTTATCAAGCTGACCTGCTGGGGGATCTGGATAATAGTGAGGGAGTTAGTCATGACGATATTCGAGAACTTCGTCGGGCTACTGATCTTTCTCTCAGGGCTACTAAAGAGACCGCCAGAGCAATTGGGCGGTCTATGGCAGCTTTGGTAGCTACTGAGAGACATTTATGGTTGAATCTTTCGGAGATTAAAGAAAAAGATCGTGCTTTTTTGTTAGATGCTCCGCTTGAACCTTCTGGTCTCTTTGGTGACGCAGTCCACACGGTCGTCGAGAGATTTCAGGAATCAAAAAAGCAAGCGGACGCTTTCAAAAAGTTTATCCCTCGCCGTGTCCAGCCCCCTGAGGCTGCTGGGCGTGAGCAGCCCCAGCCATCAAGCTCATCATATCGTGTGCATCAGAAAGAGAGTGTCCACGTGGAAACTGGAGACAGACGCAACCCTCTCAGCCGAAGTCTTCTAAGTCGAAGCCGGATCTGAGGACCGCTCTTCAGGCGAAGAAGACTTCGGCTAAAAAAAAAAAAAAAAAGGTCCTGATGTTCATGCATCAGGCCTGTGAGGACAGCCCCGACCGAAATAGAGCGGTGTACACCTCATTATACGGTGCCCGTTCCATTTCGGGGTCCTCACGAGCCCGTTCTGCCAACCCTGCCACCCTCGGTGCTTCAGGGTGCAGCGGTCTCCAGCGAGTCGCTGATGCTATGCTGCGGCACAGCATCGGTTTCACGCCCTCTGAGGGGGGCTTTAGAGCGGCCAGTTCAGGT